CTCCTTCAAATTATTGATCTCCTCAATACTAGTACCTGTAATAAACATATCATCCACATACAACACTAGAATGATATAGAAATTGTCAAAATACCTGACATAGCAACAGTGATTTGTCTGACATTTGATGTACCCTGCACTATGCATGAAATTATCAAATTTCTTGTACCACTGTCTAGGAGTTTATTTCAGGCGATATTTGTTGTACCATGCACTATGCATGAAATTATTAAATTTCTTGTACCACTGTCTAAGAGTTTGTTTCAGGCCATGCAAGCTCTTCTTCCATCGACAAACTGACTCTTCCTTTTCCTGTACCACGAACCCTTCAGTTTGGTGCATGTAGATGCCTTCTTCAAGATCCCCATGAAGAAATGTTGTCTTCACATCTAAGTGCTCTAGACAATATCATTCTGATGGTTGGAAGCTTCACCACAGGAGAGAAAATCTTGGAATAATCAATACCGTGCTTCTAACTGCTCTAGACAATATCATTTTGATGGTTGTAAGCTTCACCACAGGAGAAAAAATCTTGGAATAATCAATACCGTGCTTCTAACTGCTCTAGACAATATCATTTTGATGGACAAGTCTAGTCTTGTACCTTCTTGTACCTTTTACTGTCATTATGCTCAGTCTTCACCCGGTACACCCACTTGTTGTGTAATGCATTCTTCCAAGTTGGAAGATCTGCTAACTCCCGAGTCTGATTTCTAGCAGAGAATCCATCTCCTCCTTCATGACAAGCTCCCACTTGCTCGAATTTTCATCTTGTAAGATTTTTTTCATAACTCTGAGCTTCTCCGTCATCTTTCAGCAGAGTATAGTTCAAAGTTGGAGAATAACGTTGTGGAGAACGTCTAGCCCTTTCTAACCTGCGAATTGCAACTATAAGGGTAGATTACTCTAAAATTAACTGTGGAACAATAGAGGTGGATGCCCCGGATCCACTCTCCTCATCATCAACATCTCTGTCCAACACTATGACCTCTGGTAAATCATCAAATCTTACCAATTCAGATTCCTTCAGTGTTGTTTCAGAAACTGTACTAGACTTGTCCTTGTACATAACATTCTCATTGGAAATCACGTTCCTGCTCCTAATGATCTTCCGACCCTGATCATCCCAGAAATGTTATCCAAATGCCTCATCTCCATAGCCAATGAAATAACACTTCCTTGACTTAGTTTTAAGCTTATTACGAGCATCAGGATTAATTAGAATATAAGAACGACAAACAAAAGTCTTCAGATAAGAAAATTTTACCTCTTTCCCACTCTAGACTTCTTCAGGTAATTAACAGTTTAATGAAACAGATGACCCCCTGTTGATCAAATAAACTGCAGTACTGACTGCTTCTGCCTAGAAAGTAGGTGGTAGTCTGGCGTGCAATCTCATGCTTCTAGCCCGCTCATTAGTGGCCTTGTTCATGCGCTCAACAATACAATTTTGCTGTGGTGTTCTTGGAATGATATTCTCGATCCTGATTCCCTGAGCTGCACAATACTCTTTAAACCCACCATCAATGTACTCACCACCATTATCAGACCTCAGACTTTCAGCTTTAAGCATGTCTCTGTCTCAACCATGGTCTTTCAAGTCTTGAACACACTGAATACATCAGATTTATACTTCAAGAAATAAAACCATACCTTTCTGCTATGATCATCAATGAATGTGACGTAGTAATGAAAGCCTCCAAGAGATGCCACTAGAGAAGGTCCCAATACATCTGTGTGTACAAGATCCAACTTTCCTGCCTTTGACATCCTGTCACTTTTCAAGAAACTGATCTTCCTCTGTTTCCTCATAATGCAACTCGCACAGATGCCGAGATCAAGTGACTTCAATTCTGGTAGCTTACCTCTGGACTGAAGTTCCTTTATACCTCTCTGACTCATGTAACCAAGTCTACAATGCCACAACTCTGACGTGCTCTCTACAACAGTAGTATCAACACTATTAATTAAACCAGTAGTCATATGCAACATACCTGTTTTCTTACCCCGAGCCAGTACCAGTGCTCCTTTAGTAACCTTCCAGGTGCTAACTGAGAACACTACTGAATGTTCATACTCATCAAGCTGCCCAACAGAAATGGGGTTCTTCTTCAATTCAGGAATGTGTCTGACCTTTTGCAGAGTCCACTTGTTCTTATTTGAAAGTACGATGTCAATAAATGTCTTTGAAAGTACGATGTCAATATCTCTCATTCATACCACGTTCAGAGCTTCTCCATCTGTCAGATATACTTTCCCAAAGTCACCTGCAACATAATTACACATCAATTCCCGATGGAAAGTTGTATGGAAAGAAACTCTTGATTCTAGTATCCAATCATCAGCAGAACTATGAATTATCAGCAGTAGTGCATCATGTTCCTCTTTATGTGACCAGTTTTGCCACAATTCGAGCGAGTTACTTGTTTTTCAGGCCTTGACTTGCTCCTGCTTCTGTTCTTTGATTTTGATCTTCCCATGTTTGAGTTTCTGTCATGTGATTTCTTTTAGAATCAACATTTAATACTGAACTCGAACTTGAGATCTCACCAAAATCTTTCCTGCGCACCTCCTCAGCCAAAATCAAATCAAGAATATCTTTAAATTTCAGTTTTAATTTACCTGCAGAGTTACTGACAGTCATCCTCATAGCTTCCCAACTATTTGACAATGAAGCTAACAAGATCAATGCACGTATTTCATCATCAAATTCAATTTCCACATTCAATTTCCACAGAAATCATCAAATTCAATTTCCACAGAAGATAATTGATTTGTGATAATATTAAAATCATTCAGGTGTTGTACTACAGACGTACCTTCCGCCATCTTCAAATTGAATAACTTCTTCATTAGATATACCTTGTTATTCGCCGATGATTTTTCATACATACCTGACATTGTTGCCATAAGATCTGCAGTCGTCCTCTCATTGACAACATTTTGTGCAACAGAGCTCCATAGGGTCAATCGAATAACCTCAAGAACCTGTCTATCCAACAGATTTCATTCAGCCTCATACATTCTTTCATGTATTTTCTCCAATAACAGAAGATGAAGCTTTTTCCCATAGAGGTAATCCTCTATCTGCATTTTTCAGTAACCAAAATATGTGTCATCGAACTTCTTGATCCCTGAAACCTTCACTTCATCCGCAGTCATTGGCTTTGATACTAGTTGTTGTGGTATATATGAAATTTAAAACGATTCATTGAATGAGAAAAATCACACCAGAAAAGAACACAAATTTACGTGGTTTGGCAAATTGCCTACATCCATGAGTTGCAGAGGATTTTACTAATTGAGGAATTTGCACCAGTTGATCGTATTCAATTATAAGAGCGAACTATTCATTTCACTTCTTCACTCTTCTCTCTCTACACCGAGATACACTGAAGAAGAACAAATACGTACAAGAGAAAATTTGTTTCTCTTCTTGTGCATGCCACCAAGAAGAAATCAAGAACACCTTCTTCCTTCCAAGCACGCAAAATCAACTAAGAAAGAGTACCTTGCGAAAACACTTTTTTTCTGTCTTCTGCTTCTCGTAAGCCTCAAAAAGAATCCAAGCAATCCAATCAGGAAGTCTCCTTTCTTGCTTCTGCGAAATGAAGGAGGCGAGAGTTTTTGTTTCGCGTGAAGGAGACGAAGACGGGAGGGAGTTTTTGTTGTTGCACAGCCCGAGACGGGAGCGAGAGATCGCGAATAGGAGCACTTTTTTTTTCTGTTCGCGAAAGTGGGAGCAGAAGACCAGAGTCGGGATCGGGAACGGAAGAAATATGTGCGGGGTTTTATTTTTTATTTTTTCGTTTCTTTTAATCGTCTCCACACCTAACAGAATTATCATTTTTTTACTTAAATATATTTTCTTAGTTGAGAATATTTTCACTGTTAATTCTTTCCCATTTTATCATTTGTATATGCCCATACATAGTTGCCAATCAGGTTATTTTCCCATATGTGTATGATTTTATTTCTGTAGTTACTACGTTGAATTCACCCTATTTATTGTCATATATAATTTGAGAATTACTTGTGGATTGAATTTAAACAGATTTCATGATAGTTTAACCTTTTGCCAAGCATGTGAAAATATACAAGGAAAATTGGATGGTATATAGAGGTCTTTTTAATGGTATAATTTGTTAATGTATTTCACTAATCAACATCACGCCGTAGATGCAATATATCACTTCTATGTCTAATTCCAAATACATAAAATTCTTTGTATTTTGAAATCACAATTATCTTATAATGCAATAAAAGCCATGCATTGAGAAAATTTTGACCTATTTGATTGATGATCAAACTATCTTATTAATTTTTTTATGACATTGATCATAGTTTTGTTAAATACAATGAATGATTTTTGTCATATTTTAAGGTCATAATCTCTAGATCTAAATGGACGGGGAATGATGATTCTCCCTGTATCAGGAGAATATGCATTTTCTCCTTTTACTTGTGACTACATCACATTCTAGTATCTTCTAACATAAAGTCACCCAGTTCTTATTCATCCATAACATGAGAAATGCTGGCCTATTGCCTTTCATCTCTTTTGATCATGTAAAACAATGCAACCTATTTTCTTACTAATGTGAATTATAGGTTTTTTCTCTTTAGATCCAAGGATCTGTCAACTTTTTTGTGCATCTTATGGACAGTCAAACACTCTTAAAAATTAATGAAAGATTGTTGCTATAGTTAAGAATGTTTAAGATGGACTTGAGTATTCTTATATGAGAATTTGTGACCTGATTTTTTTCGGTTTAGACCCAAAAGTTTGCAGTTCTATGTGTGGCGCAACCATGAGTATGGGAAAATTTTTTTCTGTCTATGATTTTTCCCATCTCGGGGCTTTCACATGAATCTGTTATTCTCTTGCTCCTTTTACTGTTAATCATCGCATTAATTTTGTAACAATAACCAATCTAACCTTAGAGTTTGTTTTGCAATCATCAGTTTTAGCATTGTATTTAACTCTCGTTTATATGCAGAAGCGCAAACATTTTCATTTTGAGCTCGCAAAGGTTCAAGAAGAACTTCCTATTTGCAGAAAACAATTGGAGGATGCTCAAGTTACTAAAACTGAAGTATTGAATGAATTGGACACTGCAAGGAGACTTGTTGAAGAGCTAAAGTTGGACCTCGAGAAAGCAGAAACTGAGGCGGCACAAGCAAAGCAGGATGCAGAACTCGCCCAGCTTCGAGCAAAAGAGATGGAGGATGGCATTGCTGATGATGCAAGTGTTGCAGCTAAAACACAGCTCGAGGTTGCTAAAGCGAGGCATTTAGCTGCCATTGCAGAGATAAAATTCGTAGAAGACCAGTTAGCAGACCTTCAAGATCAATATTCTGCTTTAGTTGGTGAAAGAGACCTCGCAATTAGAAAAGCTGAAGAGGCTGTTTCTGCTTTGAAGGAGATGGAGAAAGCAGTGGAAGACCTTACACTAGAGCTCATCTCTGCAAAAGAATCACTTGAATCTGCACACGCTGCACATATTGAGGCCGAAGAGCATCGAATCGGCGCAGCTCTGGCAAAAGACCACGATTGCCTCAATTGGGACAAGGAAATAAAGCAGGCTGAAGAAGAACTGAATGTCCTCAACAAACAGCTTCAAAAGACGAAGAATCTCGAGACGGATTTAGAAACCGCATTGAGTTTATTGGCAAACCTGAAACAAGAATTAGCAGCATATATGGAATCCAAACTGAAAGAACAATCTGAAAGTTCTGAGGAAATGCAATCCAAAGATGCTTTAGTTTCTAAAAGAAAGGAGCTTGAAGGGGTGAAGGCGAACATCGAGAAGGCAAAAAATGAAGTCAGCATACTAAGAATAGCGGAGTCGTCACTCAAGTCCGAGTTCGAGAGGGAAAAAACAGGCCTTGCCTCCATGAGACAGAGGGAAGGAATGGCATCCATAGCTGTTTCGGCACTCGAAGCTGAGATCGAAAGGACGAAAGATCTAATAAAGCAAGTTATAGAGAAAGAGAAGGAAGCACGGGAAAAGGTTGCAGAGCTTCCAAATTTGATTCAACAGGCAGCTCTGCAAGCAGATCAGTTCAAGTCTGCGGCAAAGATGGCACGAGAAGAGCTAAGGAAGGTCAGCGAAGAAGCAGAACAAGTTAAAGCTACTCTGAGCACCACAGAAATCAGGCTGCAAGCAACTCTGAAAGAAATTGAAGCTTCCCGAGCATCAGAAAGGTTGGCACTTGCAGCAGTTCAGGCTCTGCAGGAAAGCGAGGAGGCTGCTTCCATGGGAGAGTCTCCTCGAGGAATATCCATTTCTCTCGATGAATACTACGCTCTGAGCAAGAGTGCCCATGAAGTCGAGCAAATCGCCAATGAGAGAATTGCTTATGCTGTTTCCCAAATCCAGGCAGCGAAGGAGTCTGAGCTAAAGAGTTTGCAGAGATTGGAACAAGCTTATGTCGAAATGGATAGAAGAAAAGCAGCACTGAGAGTTGCAATGGAAAAGGCCGACAAAGCCAACGAAGGAAAACTTGGGGTGGAACAGGAGTTGAGAAAATGGCGAGCGGAGCACGAGCAGCAGAGAAAAGCAAGCGATGGGGGTGGCCACGGTGCTTCAAATCCTTCACGAACTCCTGCAAGGAGCTTCAATGATGGCCACAAAACAAAAACGGCCGAAGCAGCGGATACTGTCTCGACTGATATCATTCGTCCTTCTCCAGGCCATGTGATTTACATGTCAGGTAATAAAATGGAGCATGTGTTACCAGAGTTAAAGCCAAGGAAGAGTAAGTTTATTATTCCAAGGATAGTAATGTTTTTTGTGAGAAGAAGGTCACGATCAAGGAAATAGATAAATAACCTTTTGAAATATATATATTGTATTTATATTATGTTTAGAGCACCAGTTGTACATGTCATAAATGTGGATAATATAATTAAATTTGCTTTTTCTTGTCCAAGGCCTTAGTTGGCTGTAAGCACCTTGTTAAGACTAGCATACAAATTTGTGTTTGGAACTTGTTTGAATAATTTTGTTAAGCCGTATTGGATAACACCATTTCTTTTGATAAATTGATGAGAAATTTACATCCATACCGCACAATTCTTATGTATTTACATATTTAACACTTAAGTTTGGTATTTATATTTCGGTCCCGTTTGGGACAGCTTTTCAGGTGCTTTCTGTTTTGGAAAGCACCTAGCTGCTTTTCTAAAAATCTCATTTCCCAAAACTTTATTTTGTGAACGGGGTGCAAGACTTGTTCCTGTGGAACGGAGCGCGAAATGACAGCGCTGCCCCCAAGTCATTCGTGGAATTACTAAACCATCCTCGATATTACCCTCCCTTCCTTTTGCAGCCTCACCATTTCCGCTGTCTACTTCGGTTTTATTCTTGAAGAAAGTAGTTGCTAGTCTGCAGTTTCAGAAATAGCTGAAACAAAGCACTAGAAAAAAAATTAAAATATTACAAAAATTCTAAAGTCTAAAATATTACATTACAAGTCATATATTACTTGATATTAATAAATTAAAGAAAATTTAAAATTAAAATAGTAATAAGTAAAATTATTATGATAGTAATCTTCATGTCCAAATGGTCAAGCTTATGGGAGAATTTCTTTTCTAAAGCGGCATTATCTTTATCTGAAACAGACTTCTCATAATTCTTAGCCCATTTAAAGAAGTAAAAGTCATCAAGCATTCTATTTATCAGATACCTATAAAAACGTCTCTCAAAACTAGTTTCTCCTCAAGACGTGTATGCAACGCAATGCAATCACACTGGCAATACACAATTCTTGAGTCAGTGAAATTTCTTGAACACATTTTCTGAAAATGCATATTTTAAGCTTAGATAGATATTAAAATGAGATATTTATTAGAAGGAAAGAAAACAAACATAAAAAAGAAAAAAAAAATGTTATTGTTATAATAATAATATAGGTTTGGAGTCAGAGTAAAGTGAGTAAAATCTCACATCATAACAATTTAGTGGGTAAAAAAAGGGGAATCTTAAAGCCCTTAATACTAACATCACACATATTGTAGGCATAATTATAGTAAGGACATCTAGAAGAACCCCGAGAGTCATATAAGTTTAGAAACAGTTGCAACAAAGTTGTTACATAGCTGAACTATTTAAATAGACTACAACTGCTTCTCCTAACAGCGGCTTTACAACAACTTCTCCAGACTGCAACTTCACGGCTGCTTCTTCAAAAAGCTGCAGCTATCCCAAACAAACCCTTATAATAACTTGTGTCAAACACTTATTACTTATGCATGAACAATGTATTTCACTTCTAAAAAAATAGTGATGATGGTATTTTTGATATGTTCTTAAAGATGTTATTGTCATTCATATAAATATGAATGTTGGATAAGTAAATACATAAGATTTGTGTAGTATGTATGTAAGTGCCTCTGTATTAATGTAGCTTATTCCATCTTTTTTTTTTACATCTCTTCACACGCTTGTTGCTTTTAATGCAAAAGAAACTATTTGGTTTTTCAAAAAAATTGCAATATATAGTAATTTGCAATTTTTAAAAGAGATAAAAATTAAAAAAGAATGCCCCCTAAAGGAAAACTATAGTGAATAAATGGTGAAATTGAAGAAGCAATTATATAACTAAATAACCCATTTAAATAACATGGAACTATTTTGAAAGTTTAATAAATAAATTTTAGTTATATATTTAATGTATCTTCATATATATATATATATAGATACACACACATATATGTATATATGTATGTATGTATGTATGTATGTATATTATCCAATTACCCAACGACATGGATCCACGTGTAGGATCAGGTCCCAAATCCCTTCCTGTTCTTCTGTGGTCCCCGCTCCTCTCCTGTTTTGTCCTTTCCCGATTAGGCAGAACCCGAAGCGCTGCCGTTGCCGGCTCCGGCCCTCCGCCTCCTGATCTCGCTCTCTCCGCGTCACCAAATGAACGATGAAGGCAGTATTCACCTTCGCTGTCCCCTTCCTCCTTATCTTCTTCTTTTTCTTCTTCGCCGACTTCTCTTTCGCCATCGCCGCTCCTCCTCCTCGGGGTAAGTTTTGCAACCAATGCCGGCTTGTAATGTATTTCGCCTCAACTCTTATGATTGTTTTTGACTGATTGTGATTTTATACAGTCGATATTGATATTTGTTTGGATTGATGAATCGGGTTTTTGGGGAATTTGTTTGAATTGATGTGATTTTTCACCTCGAAACTTGAATTATTATGTAGGTTTTTATTTCATTAAAATGTCGTTGGGTTCCTCCTCATATGATGTTTGAATTTACATCAAAGGTTCGTAATGCTTCCTTATGTGCAAAGGAGGGGGGAAGAGTGCTTTTAAGCGTTTTAAAAGGCAGCAGCTGTGAGTTGAGCATAATTAGAAGCTTGAGAGCATATGTAAAGAATTAACAGAGGATATTTAATAGAGAAATTTTCGTTCAGATAATGAGATGCTAAAAAGAAGTGATGTACTAGGTAGTGTCTTTCTGTCCTCTTATTATTTATAAGCGGCTGTTCTGTTCTTCAATCTGCCTTTATTATGGTTTAACAAGACTGCCACCATGGTTGGTAGGGGATAGGTTTAAATTTTTTTAGGTTTTTTTTTCCTCACCGAAAGTATTCGCGTTGTTGTTCGTTTCTTGACTGCCGAGTTTAAGAAACATGCTGTGTCTTTTTTAGCAGCAGCATTTGATGCGGGGCTTCTTTGGACCATAATCTAAGGTTTTCATGTTTCTGTGGAACATTCTATTATAAAATTTCTATTTTTAATGGTTTACTGCTAATGAACAGTAAAATTTGTGATCATGGAGCAGCTAATTATCACTCACCATCAAAATATAATTATTGATCATGGAATAGTAAGAATGTTGTTTGTATGTGCGCGGAAATCATGAGACTTGCCTCGACAAAATCTGCTTCATTTTGAAAGATTATTTTCATATTTAGTCCTATTCAACAAATTTCAATTCAAAGAAAAAGAAAGCCTACATCTTATCTCGTAATCATCCACCTTGATTTTCTCCAAAAAATTAACAGCAAATGTGGAAAGTGTAAATATACTATAATCCTATTTTAACTCCCATTTAAATTCATGATCTTTAAATTGTTGGCAGTAGAGTTTTGAGAAAATAGAAACATAGCTGAGAGAAAGTGTCAAATTACAATGTAAGTTTCATATCGTTTCATCGAAATAACTTTCCCTAAAAATTTTAAGCATCCAATTTCACAATACCAAGAAGATTCACATACAACTTGCACTTAAGAAAAAGAGGAAACTAATTTTAAATCAAAGTATAATACCAATAGAATTATTGTTATGTGCCTCAACCACTTTTATTTACAAATTCTCCCATAATTTACAAGTAAAAAGGTAAAATATAAGTTAACCATTTCCTTCCAAAAAGATAAGTCTATGAAATCCTACTAGAGGAAGTTACAATCAGCAAGATTTGGCAGTACAGTCACAACCTAACTACAATATCAAAAGATCAGAAGTCACAAAAGGAAAGGGAGGGAATTAGCATCATTTTACCTATCTTGAAAATTTTTGGCTTTGATGAATTATTCAGCTGATATTTTCCAACTAGAGCTGATCATAATTATTACACTTCTTGTAAGGCTGATCATGAGTTGAGCTCGAGTCGAGCATAAGAGAGTTTTCCTCTACTCAAGCTCAAAATTGTTGAGCTCGACTTGACTCCAAATCTTTTTAATTTGAGTTGAGCCGGCTCAACTCAAAATGATACTATGTTGGGCCGACTTCAAATTAATTTTGTGTTGTCTCAAAATTGCACAGTAAAGAGTTGGGGTGGGGTGTGGGGGTTCAAACATAGGAACTATTGTATAAGCGATGAAAGATATCAATCAAATGTCAATCAAATGGGCCAATGATTTTTTTTTAATCAGTATCATGTTAATTATTGATCATATGCGATAATTTTGACCCAAATGGAAATGCATCTAAAGTTAGCCATTGTAGACTCACAATTTTGAGGCAAGTACCCTAGCTCAAAACTTGACTCTAATCTATTTGACTTGATTTTTTATTAGACTCACAAATTGAGTGAATTGCAAATTTTAATCATTTATCAACAATAGCTTCATTTATAGGCATTACCTGATCATCGCCTATTGATATCTTTTAACGTCATAAAATATCTTAAGTAATTATTATATGTAGAAGAAATGCTAATATCCTTAAGAATAGCTTCAAAAGAATATCTGTATGAAATTCTAAAAGTTATGTAGATGATGACTTGAATGTGAATTTTTGAGAAGATGGAAATATAGAAGAATCCAAAGCATTGAGTGATTTCTAATGTGAAGCTAAGTAAGTTACATTAAAATCAGAAATAGCACTAGAATTTTCAGAAAGTTTCAAAAAAAGTATTTATCCCAATTTATTTTATATAAATTTACCTTTCTAGTAGGTAAATTTTTAAGGGCTTCTAGAAGAAACATTTTAGGATTTTAACAAACCATCGTCTTATTACTTGAGTTGAATTTTACATATCCATATTTAATAGACTTAGAGAGTTTTCAACATTGAAGTCACATACGAATAAATTTGCATGACCAATGAATGATGCTATATCATATGGTGAAAGTAATGAAAATGATAAATGCTTAATTACTAATATGCTTTCTAGGGCATATTAATGAATGCCTGTAAACGATTTCTAGTGGAAGAGATGAGAAAGGAAATATAAAAACAGACAACTACATAAATTTATTATGATTATATATATGGGTAACGTCTTTAAGGAAAACTAGCTCATATGAAGGGATCATTTTAGCAATATTTTTTAAATATGATGCAATTAACCCTCGTCATAAGGCTCCCTTTAAAAATTTGTGAAACAAGAATCTAAGAACAAAAAACAAAATTCATTTCATTATTATCATTCATGATTGGGATAATATTAATGAATAATGACTCAAGCTTTACTTTATTAGTTCGCTCATTTGATTTATTAACGATTGTAAGCATGATTATCTAGCTTTGCTTTCATGAATATATTCAATTCTGCTAGAAGTAGAAGTATATGTATGATCTCATGCTTGACATTGATTTTAGATTCAAGTTCTGTCGCTTGATTAAATATAGGTTTAAAGTCATGAACATGTTCTTATGTAAGTGCAGTTCAGATTCAACTAATTTAGATTTAAAAATAATATAACTTTAATCGTCCTCACTGTACAATTCATTGCAAATGAATATTCATTGACTATATACTCTCTTTAATTGGATCAAATTCAATAATACATGAGTCTCATGTTGGTGTGTCTCTCACAGGCTTTATAGGAGATGTTAATGGTTTTGTTGTTGTGATATTAAGCACTTTTGTCATAGTTCTGTCAGAATGATTATTATATTTCTCCACCTCTAATGTTTTGTTTAAGTCCTTGTCTTGTCATTGAAAAATTTTATCTTTCTTCATGCTTATTTTTTGTCTTAATCCTTTAGTAAAACATATAGTGATGAAAGAGTAATACACAGGCAAATGGTATTTTACAATAGAATCTTTATACTCGATAAAATACCCAAGCACAGTATAGTCATATTGTTTAAAATTATCAAAATAATCATTCATTCACTCCTTATAATCATTGAATGACAAATATCTCTCTGAGTTTATATTTTATAATGGACCTTTTAAATTTTATTAAACTAACAATTGTTCATGCAAAAAATTCAGCATTCTCATTTAATTTTAATTTAAATAATTTTAAATATTTTAGAATCAAGTGTATTGCATCTTTCAAAGAATTCTTCTAAATCATCAATCCAATTGAATTTTTTTCTACTATTCTATCTTTCATCGAATGTAGGTATATGATTTTGAGTCATGATAATTAAATTGAATGTGTATTGATTTTTAATTTATTTTATTTTAATTGCATCACTTATTATTTTGTTAATTGACTTAAACTATTATGCTATGTTTTTGCTTGACTGTAGGATGCAACCTTAAGTTATGATAGTAGAGTTTTTGAGTTTTTTAGATGTACAGACATAAGTTCAAATTGGTGTTTCACAAACTCTTAATTTTGGCAATGTTCCATCACTTCACACGAAAATCGAAAGTACTTGAAGTTCATAAAAATGATAAATCGGCAATCTAATAGAAATCTTGTATTAAAATTAGGGCCATAAAAGAATAACACATTTGATTAGAAACTCGCATCAAAATGAAAGATTAGATTATATTAGATTTGATAATATTTAATCACAGAGTCAAACCAAAATTTAAATTAAAAAAAAGAAATAGAACAAAGAAAAATAATCATTAAATAACAATCCTATCCTCATGTACAAGGCTGTAATTTTTTCTGAAAATCTATAGTCTCCAATTGCATCTTGCTATACATCCAATGAGCATTCTAGGAATCAGCATAACTGTTTTGTAATCAAATTAGAATATAAATAGAATTATTTTAACATGTCTCAAACTCGTCCCTATATATAATCATAAATCCTTAATTTGCAAATAAAAAAAAAAAATCCGAAAACTAAGTTTGCAATCTGTTTTGAAAGGGTAACAGCCATTGAAATCCAACACGAAGAAGTCGCAGCCAACAAGTAGGATCCTGTGAGAGGAGTCCAGGTGAAGCAACAGAAGATCACATATCATGGAAGGAAAGGAAAACAGTCCACATCAACATTTCTAATTTTATTGTGGTTAATATTCATGCATTAGTTTTAAATGAAAATTTGGTTGACATCAATTTCCTCTTGCATTAAAATCAATGCAATATCATTCCTTATTGGCATCTCCGCTACTGTTCTACCATTAGAATGCATAGTTATATGTGAATGAAATTGATTTTATGATAGAAAAAAGAAAACGTTAAAATGGCCCCCTCTAACTCCTTTATCAGGGATTTTAGTCCCTAAGTATATGTGTCAACTTAGTCCCCAAACGCTTTTGAAGGGGGCTAAAATAGTCCCCAAGGCCCATATCAAAATAGTTTGGGGACTATATTGGCAGTTTTATAAATTCTGGGACTATTTTGACACCACTCTCTTATGATATGAAGCAAGTTAAAGGCCATTATGTGTTTCTCACACGGGGGTAGTCTTTCTCGCATTATCGCGATCCTACGGTATTGGAGAGCTAATCACGGGACTCCCAAACCGATGAGATCCTATACTATTTCCCATTTATTTTCTTTCCTTTTTACTAGTTTCCTTCTTTTGATTATTCTTTTTTGGTTCTTACCTATTTATCTAGTCTCTAATTAATATTTACTTTAAAGAGACGAATATATATATATATATATATGTTCACTTAGGGTTTGATTTTTAGTTTTTTTTTGTTTTGTCTTAGGATAGTCGCCGGCCTCTCTTTTCCCTCTACAGGCTGTATCATAGGGTTTCAAGTGATGCTTCGGTTATATCTTGACTTCTAGATGGTGTTTATTCTTCCTATTCCTTCCCTCCTTTCCCAAATCAGCTCCCTTCACCCTCGCCGTTTTCCCCTTGCTGCTGTTACCCTGAAAATACCAAACCTGCTGTTTTTCCTGGTTTCCCTTGATGCCGCCACCCTCAACAGCACCTCTGAAGCTGTTCTTGCTGCTTGCCACCTCCCTTTTGATGCCACCACATTCCGTCATCACTGCCACCACTTTCCAACCAGCTAGCCGGCCCCCTTGTCATCCCCCTGGAGATCCAAACCCCTAGCCGGCATTATCTCCGCCGTAAAACCAACCGTAGTTCAGGTGTTATGTTGTTATTTTGTTGTAATTTCAGATTTGAATTTAGTAATACTATTTGGTTTTCCCTTGAATGTTTGTTAAAGTCTAATCCAGGCTCAGTCTCTCTTCTTCCTCTCCCTTTTTGCTTACTCATTTGTAACATCTATCTCATTTCATACAGGCTACTATATCAATTGCGGCGCTCCGACCGAGGAGAACATTGAAGGCATTCCATGGATCCCTGACGAAGGCTTCGTAAATGGTGGAAATGTGTCTCAAATAGACTCTCCAGGCATCATGCCGCTGCTTTCAACTTTGAGATATTTCCCTGATACAAAGTCCAGGAAGAACTGCTTTGTAATTCGAGTTAGCAAAGGCAGTAAATATATTGTGAGAACCACTTACTACTATGGTGGCTTTGATGGCAGAAATGAACCCCCGGTGTTCGATCAGATCATCGATGGCATGAGATGGAGCACTGTTGACACCTTGGAGAATTATGCCGCCGGCCTGACCTCCTATTACGAGATCATGGTTGCAGCACAGCGGAAAACTATAAGTGTGTGTCTGGCAAGAAATGCTAACACTGCCACAGCTTCGAGCCCTTTTATTTCTGGACTGGAGCTGGTGAGCTTGGAGAATTCAATGTATAATTCAACCAATTTTTCGAAATATGCTCTCAGTACTATAGCACGCCACCGCTTTGGCCATGAAGATAGTCTCATCAGGTATGTAAAGCTTTCATGATTCATTTTAGGAAGATTTATGTACATGCCACTGAATTCTTAAATATTTACAAATATAACCAGTACACTTCAATTTTTATGTAAATAACACTTTACTTATGCATCAAAAAGTGTATTTTACGTTTTAAAAGTTAAAATGGTGATATTTTTTATGTGATATGAAAGGTATCGGTGGCATAAATGTAAAATTCGAAATTTAGATGTTATCTATGTAAATACATAAGAATTGGGTGATATGTATGTAGATGCCCCTTCATTTTATTTATACTTAATCATTGGATTTCTTCACTCATTGCAATTGTGCTTTGTTTGACGTTTGGTTACGGATTCTTTGTATGCATTTTTATGCTCTTAAGTGCACTTAGTGTTATCATAAAAAACGTATTGAGAAAAGTGTCAAAATAGTTCCCTAACTCATAAAAAACCTATTTTTCTAAATAAGTCAAAATAGGTGCCACGAACCACATGACTGAATGCTCTCAAACCTTCTCGACATACCATCCTTGCTCAAGGAAAGATACTGTTAAAATTACTGACAAGTCCCAAAGGTTTATTGCTGGTAAAGGATTTGTTGTTTTAACAATAGATCTAACTCTGAAATCCATGTTACATGTACCTCTGTTGAAGTGTAACATTTTATCCGTAAGTAAGTTGATATATGAAATTAATTGTGTTGCTCATTTTTATGATATTATTTTTTAGGATCGTCGTTTGGGGAGTATGATTTGAACTGCTAAGCGGGTAGACATGTTTTATTTTTTCCAAGAGAAAATCATAGAGAACGAGGACACTTCACCCAGTATTTGCAGTTTATCTTAGTCCAGTGAATTATCAATTATGTTATTACACTGTCGTTTGGGTCATTCTAGTTTCCAGTGTCTAAAACAATTGTATATGTTGATGTTTACTAATAAAAATTTTTCTAATTTCAAATCTGAAATTTGTCAGTTAGCTAAACATCACTGTGTTTCTTATCCATTCCACAATTACAAACTTTTTGCTCCTTTTTCTTATTCACAATGACTTGTGGGGACCCTCTCGCACTCTTAGTTACACCAATAAACGGTGGTTCCTTATTTTGATTTATAACCACACTCAGATAACTTGGATTTATGTTTTAAAAGATAAATCTGAAATTGTTGTTAACTTCAAAAACTTTCACACCTTCATTTTGAACCCATTCAAAATTTCTATTCAAGTCCTTCAAACTGACAATAGTCGTGAATTTCTTAACTCTACATTAGAAGAATTCTTGGTGAGTAAGGGCATCATTCATCATAGCTCATGTACTGATACTACTAAACAAAATGGGATAGCCGAGAGAGAAAACTGACATCTCCTCGTTGTTACTTGCTTTATTATGTTTCACTTTATTGTCCCAAAAAGTTTATGGAATGATTGCATCCTTACTGCCACTTTTCTTATCAATAGAGTTCCCTAAAAAATTCACAATTTTCGTACCCCTTTAGCCGTCTTAAGATCATGTTTTCCTAACAATAGACTTCTCCACTTTAGATCCTAAAATTTTTGGGTGCACTGCTTTTGTTCGGAACATGGCCCCAACCCAGAGTAAACTCGATCCAAGGTCCCATAAAATGTATTTTCTTCGGATACTTTACACTCAAAAGGGGTATTATTGCATTGACTTTAGCGCAAATAAGGTCTATGTGAGTGTCGATATCTCATTTTTTTAAAGCGGTCCCTACTTTACTAACTCGGCCTCTAGTGAAGGGGAGCTAGAATTCTTGGACACTATTACTTACCCCACTCCTGTGGATGTTCCCCCCACGTCACCTACCATTGAGGAACCCTCTGTTCTTGTGATTCCATCCACTGCTTCTACCACCAATGAGTCATCTGTCTCTTTGATTCCATTAACACATTCTCCCACTCTCCATGTCTAAACTCGACATCCTCGTTTTGATGCACCCACTCTAGAGCTCGCTAACCTCTTCTTGGACTTTGAATCCGCTCCAAAAGATATCCTCAACACTGCTCCTAATCCAAATGAGGAAGTCAGTTTCTCTAGTAAGACACACAATCAGACATGTTCGATCAATCCCATAGCAAACTATGTTTCTTTTCACAGATTATTGCCAACCTATAGAGCATTTGCTACAACCCTGACCAATTATCAGCTTCCATCTACTACTGAGGCTACTTTGGAAGACCCAGCCCGAAAAGCTGTCGTCATGGAGGAGATAAATGCCCTCCAGCGGAATTATACTTGGGATATTGTTGATCTTCCTTGGGTCAAGAACACAGTGAGATGTTGATGAATTTTCAGTATCAAGTTTAAATCTAATGGATCCTTTGAATGCAACAAGACACGGTTAGTTGCGAAAGGGTACTCATAGACCTACGGAGTTGATTATGATTTGACATTTGCTCCAGTTGCTAGATTAAATACCATTCAGGTGCTCTTTTCTCTTACAGTGAATTTTGATTGATCATTATTTCAGCTTGATGTAAAAAAATGCATTCCTGAATGACTATCTTACAGAGGAGATATACATGATTTTTTATCTAGGCTTTACCTCTATTGCCTCTCAAGGGCAAGTATGTTGATTGCGAAAATCCCTGTATGGATTGAAGCAATCACCTCGGGCATGGTTTGGAAAATTTATAAATGTGATGGTCGGCCATGGATTCACTCGGGCCCAATCAGACCGCACTCTCTTCTTCCGACATTCCTCTGGCGTCCAGTTAGCTATCCTTATTGTCTATATTGACGATATTATTCTCATAGGTAATGATCTACCAACATTGGAGTCTCTCAAAGACATTCTTGTTGCTTTCTTTGAAATGAAAGAGTTGGAATCATTCTGGTACTTCTTAGAAATGGAAATTACTCGGTCATCTCAGGTTATTTGTCTATCTCATCTGAAATATATGATTGTCCTTTTGACATAGAACAATCTTCTCCTGTGCAAACCAGTGGCTGTCCCGATGGACAAGAAAACTTTTTAATGTTCCCAATGCATTTCCTATAAACAAGGCTCAATACCAGTGCATTGTGAGGAAACTCATTTACCTTGCTAATACACGCCCTGACATATGTCACGGAGTTGGGATAATCAGTCAATTCATGCATGATCTCTATGAGCACTATCACTAAGTTGTCTACCTGATTCTCCACTAATTAAGCGGCACATCGGACTCGGGTTTCTTTTTTTTTCCCACCACACATCTTGTTCTATTGTAGTTTACACAAATGCGGATTGGGTTGGATCCGTCCATGATCGACGATCTTTCTCGGGTTACTGCTTATTTGTGTGGGGAAACTTGGTCACACGGAAAAACAAGTCTGTAGTTGCTTGGAGTTGTGCAGCAGCCTAATTTCGATCATTGTCCTTAGGAATTTGTGAAGTTCTCGGGTTACGCATCATGCTCCGCAAACCACATTTGACACTCTCGACGCACGTACAGTTGTTCTGTGATAACAAGGTTGTCACTAACATTACTCACAAACTCGGTCCAACATGATTGCACCGGGGATGTGGAGATTGACTGTCACTTTGTCAAGAAAAAGCTCGAGTCTGGGGACATTTGTGTTTTGTTTGTGTCATCTAGTGGCCAGCTAACAGATATTCTCACAAAAAATCTTTTCCAGTCACTATTCGATGATTTCAAATCTAAGTTGAACATGATTGACATTTATGCTTCAACTTGATGGGGACTACTTGAATATTAGAATGCTAATATGCAGAGTTCTGTATTAATTGCTTTGATTTACTTTTTTTTCTTTACTATTTTTTTTTCCTTTATTCTGTTTTTATTTGGTTCCTTACTAGTAGATCCAATATCAGATATTTATTCTACTCTTCGCATCAATAAGATTTACCCTGAATTTATTCTCAAAGTTAACAGTATATGTTACTCAATGTGGTTCCTCGAACTAGCTATCCAGATGATCCTTTCAACCGGTACTGGCAATCATTCACCGATGCCAATCCCGTCGTTGAGTGCCACTCCAACATATCATCCCCTGACTTTTGGAACTTCCCTCCGCCTGCCGCTTTGATGAAAGGCTTGACGACAAGCCGTGGGAAAGAGCTGCTTATAAATTGGCCTCCTTTTGACCTCCCAAACACAAGCTACTACATTGCCCTCTACTTCCAGGACAATAGAACTCCCAGCCCTTTCAGCTGGAGAGTATTTGATGTAGCAGTAAATGGAAGGGCCTTCTACAGTGGCCTCAATATCTCAACTGAGGGAGTCATGGTCTATGGATCTCAATGGCCGCTCGCCGGTAAGACGACAATCACGCTGACCCCGGCTTTTGACTCTCCCGTCGGCCCGGTTATTAATGCAGGTAGGGGTTTGCATTGCTTGGTCAAAACCAAACCCAATCAAGCACATTTGGTTGATTCGGTTCGGTTTTAAAATAATGATTTGATTTTTTGTTTAAAAAATTTGAATATTTGGTTTTCGGATAGGTTTTAATATTTTCATTAAACCGAAGAAGCCGAAAAACCAAATATTTTTAGGATTATAAAATTAAATTTATTTGAAAAAAAAATAAATTGAGCATACGACATATTTATTTTAGTTTAGTTTTAAATTTTTAAAAGAGAGTGTGAGAAAAAAAAGAGAAATAAAATTTTCATTTTGAAATTGAACCTTAATTTTAAATTATTTTGTTTTGAAATAGAACCAAATGCTACATTTCAATTTGCTCCAAACCGAGCCGATTAAGTTGAATTGCATTTCAGTTTGATTTGGATCGATTTTAGCAACAGCTTAGCTGGTTCCATTTTTCAGATTTCAGTTTGACTAATTTGTGAAGCGATCCATCCCAATTAATCATTTGCATTTTGCAGGAGAGCTTTTTCAGATAGTCCCAATAGGTGGAAGAACACTCACAAGAGATGGTAAGCGACCACTTTTAACATGTTTGAGATGAAGATTTTTGCGTCCATAATTATAATTTCCTACTCTCTTTACGTTTTGATGTTTGATACAGTAATTGCGATGGAGAATATAGCAAGAAGCTTTGCTAATCCTCCACAAGACTGGAAAGGAGATCCTTGCTTGCCTAAGCAAAATTCATGGACTGGTTTAACCTGTGATATTTATGGCGGTTTTGCTAGAGTGGCGACCCTGTAAGTTCAAGTATGCTTAGTATTCCATTTCTAAATATTTAGAGACTTATTGGGATCACTTTCTTTTTTTTTCCGTTTTATATTTTTAGAAAACGTGTTTGGTACTGTTTTGATTTATCTATTTGTAAAAGTAAAAAATATAAAACATGTTTGGTTGGTTATTTTCAATATTTTTTTTAAGGTTAACCTATAACTTAAAAAAAAATCGCCACTAGCTTTTAGCAGAACGATTAAAATAATACTTTGTATGTCCAGCCATAACACAAAGGACCGTTTAACCCAAATAAAATAAATCCAACATTAAATTAAGAACACTATAAGATAAATATAAAAAAAAATACAAGCTAATTGAGAGAAGGAAAGAAGATTCAGAGAAATTTTAGAACATGTAACATGTTAGATTCAGCTCAAATTTACAAGCTAAATGATATCTCTTGACCATAATGGGAAATAGACATGGAGCTGTCATTTCCAATGAGCACTTGGTCACTTCCTTGATATCAGATGTGTGGTGAGATTAGGAGTAAGATGTGCTGCTTCTTCAATGTTACAATTCCTATAAAAACCCCTTTCCTGATTCATCCAACTCTAACCACCACCACGATAACAAAGATGATCCAATTGACCTTTATTCCTTCGACCCGATCTTTGGCTCCTGGTCCCAGCTACCTCCACTGCCCCAAAATTCCCCTCTCCATCGTCTCCAAATTTACCCTCCCTCTTTCCTATCTAGATCCCTCCCAATCCAATCGGTCGCTCGTCGCCGCATCCAATGTCCTTCTACCTGCTCTCTCCTGTCCCCTAGCGTTCCACCCTGTTTGCCGCCATTGGATCCTTGACCCCCTTCTCCGCCATTCCCGCCATTGGTGCACTGCCGGATCTGCCTCTGGTGTTGTTTACATCGATAGTGGTGTCGGCTCCTCTTAGCAATCTGATGTCGCATGATCTGCAGATATTTGGGAACCCTCCTGCTGCTCTTTGTCTAGACGCTAGGAGCCGATTGCGTCCTTCGAGATGGGAAAAATTATTTCATCGGGACACCAGACGCAAAATTTACATACGGAGTCCAGTGTGCATATGCCACGTGGCAAGTGGGCCCCACCCCTCTAAAAAATCTTACCCAACCAGTGTATTACAGTGGAGCCCACATGCCACGTGGCAAATGCCTACTAGACTCCGGACGCAAATTTGCATCCGGTGTCATGATGGAATAATCTCTCCCGAGACAGACAGTTTCGGCGACGAGCTTTGATGACAAACCTCAGGGGAAGGGGGATTGAGACTCGCGAGGGAGAATGGGTAGGAAGGAGAAAACAGGTTTTTACTGGTTTTAGAATTTTAAAAATAGTAGTGTACAAATAAAAAACAAAAAATAGAAATAAAATTAAAAATACATAGCCAAACACTATTTCTTTGTTTATTTCCTTTTTTTATTTAAAAAAAAAAAAATTATCCCAAACAGCCCCTCACGCTCCATTTGGAAGAGTTTTTACACTAATTTCCATTCTACAGAAAGTAAAAAATTTTGTTTGGCTGCTTACATGCGTAACACCTGAAACATTGCTATTTACAAATCTAGCACCCTCATTCATACATTTTTTTCAAATTCTCACTAAAATAGCAAAATTCATAATAAAACGTAAACCCATATTTTTCATTTTTATCAAGTTCTCAATGATTTAATTGTGGCACGTGTAAATACATCAGTTCAATAGTTTAAAAATAGCATCTAGATGTAGATTTTGTAAATAGCAATGTTTCAGATGTTATGTTAACAGCCCAATAGAGTGATATTTAAAAAATCATTTTTGAGAATTCTCTGTTTTTTTCTTTCACGAGTCACTGCTATAACTTTAAAACATGGCTTTTTCAAAATATAATTTTCGAGCAAAATTTCATAAAAACTAAAGCTCAAACGGAGCCTCAGTCTTCATTCAATCTGATATTGATCATTTTTTTTTCCAGAAATCTGACAAATTTTGGAATCTCCGGAGTTTTATCAGATAGCATTGGAAATCTAACTGCAATCACTGATATGTGAGAGTACTAAAAAAAAAACTCATCTATTGAATGATAATACAACCCCTTGGCAATTTGACATAACTGTTAGATTATTGGATGCAGTTGGCTGTCTGGAAACAAACTCGCTGGTAAAATTCCACAAATGGGCAATTTGAAGGAGCTGGCTTCCCTGTAAGCTCAATGATTTCAAAATCTTCTCTTCACTATTTAGTTTATCTGACATTTTTTCTCTCCTGTTCAAAGGCACTTGGCCGACAATGAATTTACTGGATCGATCCCATCTTTTCTGGCAAACCTTCCAAATATTAAGGAGATGTAAGTGCCAATTATTATTATTATGATGATGATTTAAATATTTTGGTTTTCTGATGGCTAACAGTTCTTCATATTTGTAATTGGAAGCTTTCTACAAAATAACAAGTTGTCTGGTCCAATACCAGAGAGTCTGAAAAACAGAAGTGGGATTGATCTCCGGTAAGCTTGGACTTGATAATTTTTTGCATTTTTATTGATAACTAGAAATATTTCATGTTGACTTCCTTATTCTTTGTGATTTTTTAATGTAGGATTTCTTCTGCCAATCAACTTGAGATGTAAATAGAAAGAAAACTGCTAACCAGATTTGTTGAACTTTGTAAGTTATTTTTGCCAGTTAAAGTACTTCTGAATTGAGTTGTAACGTTTGTGTTTAAAGGGGAAATGTTTAGTTCGGCTTATAGCAAGGATGATGAAAATATGATAAAATATAAAATTTTTAACTAAAATATGCAGCTTAATTGGTTGTTGGATGGTTTGCTTGTTCATTCTTCTTTGAATGCAATTTATAAGGCTTAGTTATGCTTAGAAAGTGAGACATAAGTAACATAAGTAACAGTAATTGTCATGAAAGTAGAAAGCTTTGCAAGAAAATAGAAGATAATGTGTGAGATACAGCACCTAGAAATTTGTTTTAGGGTTTATATTGTAGTGAATTTAGGTAGATCTAAATTTTGTTATCCGCAGGAGTAAAATCGGAATACATGATTTATTACAACTGCTAAAGCTGTTATCATTAGGCTCTAATAAACATAAAATGGAAGTATAAAATAGCAACATTGTAGGAATTTCCATACAGATTTATGATAGCTAATAATACATTAAAAAAAATTCGGTACACAAATATTTTAAAGTAATTTTATTGAATATTGGTGAGACACAATAATTATATAGATTTAATTTAAAATTATATGCGACTTATTTTCACTTTAAATAAATAAGAGTATATCAAAAAAATTTTAAATCCAGATTGGACGGTCTACTGAGATTATTAGAGCTAGGAGAACAAAACTTAAGATTAAGCGAATGTCAAATAATTAAAAATAAATAAAGTTATATTGGAGATGGCAGTGATGATAGAGAATAATTAACTGCCGTAAAATGTAGTCATGAGAGACAAAGATGGAGCTAATTGTCACGGACCAATAGTCCCACATCGGCTAGTGTAGATCTGAAAAAACAGTATTTAAGTCATGGGCTGCCCACCACACCTAAGGTCTCTTTTGGGAGGTGACAAGTGGTATCATAACAGATTACTGCCTGCCAGGTGTGTAGACTGTCCATGGTCCAGTGGGATCCTCGGTGGAGCCGATCCGTGACGAGGGCGTCACGTGATTGGGTGGAGGAGAATGTCACGAACCAATAGTCTCACATCGGCTAAATATAGAGCCGAAAAAGCAGTATTTAAGTCCTGGGCTGCCCACCACCGCTAAGGGCTCTTTTGGGAGGTGACATAATACTTAGAAAAATGTAATCAGCATTAAAAATTAAGCTTAATTACCAAGGTAATATATATAATAAGGAACAAAAAAAAATCATATAAATTTATCAACTTTATACAAAAGTATGAATAATATTTAATATCAGAACTATTTGTTCTATTGGAAGAATTGGACGATATTGCCTTTAAGCTCATATACTCACCAAAATAGACGGTCTCAATCATTTTTTTGACAAATTAAAAACATGCTAGGTGCCATCTAGAATTAAAATCATATGCCATATACTCTCACAACCATTACTTAATATAAAAAATTTTAATATACCAAACATCCAAAACTTTAAATATAATATTTTGATCGCCTCAACTTAAAATTTTACATTTCAATCGCCCAAAACCTTATTTCTTTTTGAAATAGCTTTGTTAGTCAACCAGTTATATTTAAATTTTTTGAAGATTTTTGGGCGATTGAAATGTAAAATTTTAAGTTTGGGCGGCTAATCATTTATATTTAAATTTTTGAATGACTGGCATATAAAAACCCCTATCAAAAAACGAGACAACTAATTCTTCCAATGATGAATAATTCACCGAAAATGATTTTTTAGAACATTGAAGGCAACTCAAGCAGGATGATGATATATAGCCGTTAGGTTTGAGATCAAATGTGCTTACAACACAGGTAACAAGCGGCGGCCGACCTCACCAAAAAACTGGCACGGAATTTCATATTTATATTAAGAAAAATAACGGAAAATTTTGACTCATTCTGCATTGCCGTAGCCTTCCCTCTGGCAACAGTTGAAGATTAAGCCAGCTAAAAAGATAGGAAAATATCAAGTTAGAGCTCGTGAAATAGCACGAAGAATGTTTTTTATAAGGCAAAAAATCCTCCAATATAAATGCAATGCCAATTTTGGTTCATATAAACACTTGTACAATGAAGGATTAGAATTATTAAATGACTCAAATGAACCTATTATTACCATTATTATTGTTGTTCTTCTTCTTGTTGTTAATGTTATTATTAAATTCGTTGGACACTAACTATCACTTCCTACACCACAAAACAATTAAAAAAAGGTGGGCATTTAAATACATACCACACAATTCTTATATATTTACATATCTAAAACCTAAACACTCATGTTTACATTCATGACACTAAAACCTTTAGCATCGCATCAAAAATACCAATATCACCACTTTTTAAAAGTCAAATGTGAATCATGCATAGGTTTATGACACCAATTTGTTGTAAATGTAAATATCAAAATTTGAGTGTTAGAAATGTAAATGCATAAGAATTGTGTGGTATGTATGTAAATCTCCCTACAAAACAGATCCCTTGTCTGTTGAAAAACTAAACCGCTTTTCTAAAGTGACTTTGTCAACTCCAATTCAATAGTGAACTTCCAGTTACTTACAGATCCACTCCAAAAAGTTCCTCTCAGAACACCAAAGAGGCTTTCACAAGGGTTTTTTCTTGTAGCTCCCTTTCAATCTACGAATTAACACTACAAGAACAACAGGGCTTTATCCCACTAAGGATCTGTTTGGGGCAGCTTAAAATTGCGGAGGCGTTTTTGAAAACGCCGCCTTTGTGTTTGATTCGCACGTTTTTCTTGCTTTGGCCAAAACACCGATTTACAACATTCTATTATTTCTATTAGATGCGGATCGATCCAGCGTTCGACCGAAGCATTTACACCCCTGCCCTCAAACCCGATCCCCCTAGGGCTCTGCCAAAGGAAGCCGCTGCTCTCTGCCGAAGGAAGGCGATGCTAATCCCTGCCGAAGGAAACCGAAGGAAGCCGCTCCTACCTCTCCGCTGCTCATCCCTGCCGAAGGAAGCCGCTAGTCAGCCCATGTCTCTGCACTTGCTACATCCATGTCTATGCACTACTCATCCCATGTAGTTACTTCAAGAACTAATAAAACAAGCACAACTATATTGGCTGCCCTGCCATTCCATGTCTCTGGGCTTCTGGTCCATCCCCATATACTTTTTGATTCGTCAATGTTTAGGATCTTGCATCTGCTTCATACTTCAATTCTGTAGCTTTTAATAATTCATTTTGAAGCACTTGTTGTTTATGCTGTTATGCATCTACTTATATTTAGAATTTTGAAACTTTTTTGTCGAATGGATGCTTTAAATCCTGATTGTCATTGTCCTAATGCTTTGTTGCAATAAAATTTCCTTATTTAATTTTACACTTGAGCGATTTACCTCTGGTTTTTTTTTTTGGTTCATGCTTCACTTACAAATTCCTTTTGTGAGACTGTTGGAAGTAAAATTTAAGTATTAGATATGTAAATACATAGGAATTTGGTGGTATGAATAGGAATTTGGGATATGTAAATACATAGGAATTTGGTGGTATGAGTGTAAAAATGAAAGTTTTGATGTGAGATATGTAAATCCATAAGAATTGAGTGCAAATGATGTAAATGCTCCTTTTTTATGTGTTGGTTTAATATATATTTTTCTCTGCTAGAAATCTGAAATCCTCAAATATCCTCTTACCTGATGGGCAGTCTGTAGATCAGCAAATCAACTGTTCTCAAACATCAGAAACCAAACAGCGTAACAGTTTATTCAGTTCAGGGGCAAAATAGTCATTTATCCATAAAAAACTGCAAATCAGCTGTTCCAAACACACAAACCAAACAGTCAACCAGCTTATTCGGATCAGCTGCTCATCAGAAGCTGGATAAGCTACAGCTACCCCAAACATACCCCAAGTGGGCTTGGCTACATGAATCATTTTTCTTCATTGCGTCCTAACGAGTGTCATATTTTCATTTAATTCTAAAAGATTAAGATCACATTTACATAATAAGCTTGTCTTTTTAGATCTACCTAACATAAGTCGAATCAAAAGCATCCACTCTCCTAAACAGGAGCGTCAGATGTTCAACGTTTAATGTGACCAGGCATCTAAGACGAATGTCTCTAATCTTGTCCGTCACCATAACTACTCCAACTTTATCACAAATATATTCATTTCGTATTTTGTCTCCAAGTGTCAAGCCACTCCAACTAAGTATTCTCATCTCAACAACACTTAACTTTATTTTATGCTTCTCTTTTAAAGACCAGCATTCTGCACCATAGAGCATTGCATTGCATTGCAGGTCTCACCACTATCTTATAAAATTTTCCTTTCAGTCTAAAAGGTACTTTTATATCACACAATAAGTTTGATGCATTCCTCCACTTCAACCAACCAAGTTTTCCCATCTGTACCACCATCACTTTGAACAATAAACTAGAGATATCTAACGTTCACGCCTTTTAATGATTTGATCACCCATAATTACAACTGTCACTAGAACTACTATTACTAAAATTACATTTCATGTATTCAATTTTAGATCTACTCATACAAAAGCCTTTAGACTCCAACGTAAACCTTCATAATTTAAGTTTTTACCGACCTCTTTCTTCAGTCTTATCCACAAGAAAGATATCATTAGCAAAAAGCAAGCACTAAGGTGCATCCTCCTCTAAATGTCCCGTAAAAGCATCCATAACTAAAGCGAAAAGATATAGGCCTAAAGCCAAACCCTGATGTAATCCAACTAAAATAGGAAAATACTTGGTCAATCCTTCATCTGTTCGTACACAAGTAACATCTCTAGCTCTAGTATATATATCTTTAATGACTTGAATATTAGTCATATCAACACCTTTCTTCTCTAGAACTCTCCAAATGACTACATTTAGAAATTTATCATAAGCTTGTTCTAATGAAATTAAAATCATATGTATATCCTCCTTATTCTCCATGTACTTCTCCATCAAACCTCTCCATAAATGTTTAGCTTCCATAGAAAATCTGCTCGGCATAAATCCAGACTGATTATGAGAAGTCTTTGTATTATGTCTTAATCTATGTTCAATTACCCTAAGTATGACACATCAACTTAATTCCTCTATAATTTGCACACTCTGTGCATCCCCTTTATTTTCAAAATTGAAGACCAAAATGCTCTTCTTCGACTCCTCAAACATCTTTTTACTTTTTAAAATAATATTAAAGAGTCTAGTAAACCAAAAAGACTCTCAAATCTCCTACCTATTTCAACACTTCAATTGGGATATTATCATATCCTACTGATTTATCACCCTTAGTTTTCTTTAAAGCCTCATCACTTAATTTTTCAGTAATACGACAAGTAAAAGTAAAATATTTTATTATTACTAACGATATTAAGATCACTAAGGTCAATTGTATTTTCAGGAACATTACTGAAAATTTTATCAAAATAGCTCACCCACCTATATTAAATATTTTTCTCTAAAAAAAACATTTTTTATCTTCATCTTCAATACACTTTACTTAAATTAAATCTTTACTTTTCTTTTCTTTCCTTATAGATGTCACCCTTTTTAGTAGCAATTTATTATAAATATTACTAAAAATAGAATTTTTAATGTCACAAATTGTTCTCTTAGACTTCCTACCGGCAACGTTATATTTTTCTCAGTTCTCTAAGCTTTTACATTTAAACCAATTTTATAACACAATTTCTTAAATTTTATATTTTCTTGCACATTATCATTCAAACACTAACTTTTTTTATTTATAAAAACTTTTCCTTTTTATTCTATAAATATATCTTTTGTCACTTTTTAATGGTGTTTGTTCTCTTATCAGACATGGAATTCGTTTCTTCATGAACATTTCAAATATTAAAATCTTGAAGTTTACTAATAAAAAAAATTTTATTTGCATCTTTTAGGTGCCCTCATCTAATTATAAGACAATGATTCCTTATATTATTAATCTTATAACTTTTCATCTTAAAATCTAAAACTAATAATCGATGTTGAGTACTTAAATTTTTACTTGAATGAAATTTTTACACTCTCGACAATCTTTTTTTCTCATAAGAAAATAATCAATTTGTATTTTATTAGATCCATTCTTATAAGTAATAATATGTTTATCTTTGTTTAATAAAGTATTTGCAATATCAAAATCATATGTTAAATCAAAATCTAATGTAGTTCTACCTTCTTCATTAATCACTTCAAAATAATAGCCACCATGAATAATTCTAAAATTTTTACACTCTCGACGATCTCTTTTTCTCATAAGAAAATAATCATAAGAAAATAATCAATTTCATAAGAAAATAATCAATTTCTGTTTTATTAGATTCATTCTTATAAATAATAATATGTTTATCTTTTTTAATAAAATATTAGCAATAACAAAATCATATGCTATCAAAATCTAGTATGGTTCTACCTCCTTCATTAATCACTTCGAAACAATAGAAACCATGAATAATTCTAAAATCTTCTACCACATTACCAACATGTCCATTTAAATCTCCTCCAATAAATTTTTTTTCTTCAAAAGGTATCATAAGTATTACTCTGGCTAAGTCATTCCAAAAATTTTCTTTTAAATCGATATTTAAACCTGTTTGAGGAGCATACACACTTATGATTTTAAAAATCTAAATATCAACAACAATCTTTAGAGCTATAATTCTATCTTCAATTCTATTAATTTTTACAGCATTATCCTTTTAACTATTATCTATAATTACACCAACATCATTTTTAGTGCGACACCTACATGAATACTAAAGTTTAAAACCTACAGTTTTTAGCCAACTCATTTAGTTTTTTTAATACATAAGACAATTATCTTCCTATGAACCATAATTCACGAATTAACAATGAGGAAAAAAAGGATCTAAAAAATTCAGCAAAGCTTCTTAATGCATTGAGTTCACTCCACTAACAAATATTTTAAATGCAAAATAAATGGAAGAAAAACCAATTAAACATTTTCAAAGTACAAAGAAATAAGAAAGGATGCACTCTATGCAAGAGGTTCCATCTAATGTGGGCTCTCAAGAAAGGTTATTCTAGACAATTATATCCCAACCCAACATTATAGATTAATCATTTTCATATTTTAAGAACATAACCTGCATATTAATTTAACAATAAAGTAACCTAATAACTGCCCCTTGCCTGCCCAATATTTTACTTTATTTCTAAAATGCTTTAAAAATTAATTAACAGGATACTCTAGTGAAAGCAACTAATTACTAATTAATAATTCTGTTTTTGTGTAACATGCTTGAGGTGGATCAGCAATATCATTAACACACAACTTACTGGTTGCAAGCACTGTTGCTCCTGATGCTACTGAAGCTACATCAACTGCTATCATCAAAGCCACTGCATCTAATTATGTAGACCTACAAGGAATAAAAAATTAAAAGGCTAACGGGAACATATTTGCTTGAATAACAATAAAAACATTGCACGTTTTAATTTAAAAATTGCATCACATTTTATGACAAAAAAAAAATTCTTTTAAAAGTGGTTAAGCTTAGTAAACCATTTCATTGGAGCTAAAGTTTAAACATAACAAAGTTAAAACTTACCAAATGGTTTTGACATACCGACCACTAACATAACAATTCTAACTCTTTTAATTGATGAAATTAATTTCAAAGCTTTAAAACTACCGTAAAGAAGATTATTAGCAGATAAAATAATGCCACAATAACCTTAAATGCTGTAGGTTTAATTAAATGGAATACTAGAGCATCTCCATCGACCAACTCATGAGCTATAGAAAAGCCCCTCCAACCAGCACTTAACCCAGTTTTTGGAGCTAAGTAAAGAGTTTGTGTTTCCTCGTCGTCTTCATCAATTAAAGTAAACCATGTATCGCGATTGGGCAGATGAGAGGTGCAAAATTGCTTCGAAAGGCCCTGTTAGAGAAAGTAATAGGTAAATACATAAGAATTCAGTGGTACGTATGTAAATCTACCTAACATTAAATATAAAATCCCGATAGAACTAGAAAAGCAGCAAAAAAGGAGTTTTCTATAATTTTTTTTTTGTTGCAACATTCTCACCAGCCAAAAGCCTCCAGTGACATGAGATATCAGCATTGGCTTAACAAAGCTAGGATGGGTCGGATCGAGCTGTGATTGAAGCTCTAGAGCCTTTTCTGTTGCGTACTCGCGGGCTTCGTCTGAAGCATACACACGATTTGCCAGATCTGTTCTCCTAAACACTCTGAAAATTTAAAGATTGACATGAGGAAATGTGTGGGTTGGAATATGATAGGTAGGTCATCCTCGAATCATTTTATGGATGTTTTCATTATATTCAGAAAGATTTACAAACCTGCGAGGCCGTACAATAATCTCAAAAGAAGGTACCTGCAACACCGATGAGTCTCTTAAAATTTAAATTTTTAAATATTGTTATGAATTAGTTTGAAAAAATTGGCATATGTATGTAGAAGAGTTAAATGAAATCCTTTTACATTTCACTTGCAAGGCATTAATTTTGAGCATTATTTTCTTAAAATAAATAAAAAAACATAAGCTCAAGAAAATTCATGGAAATCTTCTACGATGCACGCGATTTCTAATGAAACCCGTATCAGTAATCCTTTATAACAATTTAAGATGAGCTTAAGTTTAGATATCTAATAGCTAAACTTTAATGTTTACTTTTCTACCACCAAAACCTTTCATATCTGTTGAATCAAAATTTGTCTGTGAATCACACCTAAGGAATGGAGCGTTAGAAAAGGAGAAAAAGGGAGACATAAACAATGGAAATAGTGGTCTCTTCATTAAATGCTTCCCCTCTTTATAAAAAATTGGTGCAATAGTGATATTACATTTTTAGCCCCATTTGGTGAGGGTCTATAATAGGATATTTCTGATATTTTACAAGTGAGGACTTATCGTTCAGTCGCCCTCTGGCTCCGCTGACTAAGCTTAGTTGACTTCGTTGGACTGAGCCAACTCAATCGCTAACCTAGCCTATCTGACTACTTCAATCTCTGCTATGAAGTCTTTGCGTCAGAGAGTGTGATTTCTCGCGCGATCAAGAGAGGATTTGGAGTAATAATCTTTAGGTTCTAGTATTGTACAGAGAAGATTTGAGTGGTGAAATTATATGTACTTTTTCCTTTGCATAATGAATTTTTTATGTGGTATGCATCCGTGATTTTTTCCCGTTTCTCAGGTTTTTCCACAAGAAAATAGCAAATGCACAAGATAAATTCTAATCTATTCTTACAATTGCTTAATCCCATTTATTATTATCTTGTGCATTTATCATATTTACCCTTGAGACTCTTCCACATAAAACTTATGTGTTCTATCAACTTATACCACCATATTAAACTGCTCCACCATTTAGATGAATATCAAGTGGCTGTCAAGATGACATAGATCTTCTCTGGCTTTGGGCTACTAATAAATGTACATGGTTAATGGTTAATGTTATGCTTATATACAGCATATATTCCACATAAATCTAATGAATTTACATATTAAAACCTATATTTTCACATAAATACCTTAGGGGTTTTATGGCAACCGCTTTAACAGCTTTAATAGATCCTGTAAATCTGGATTTATTAAATTCTCTTGTTGGCATGATTTAATGAATCCGGGATTTAAGACAAAACTAAGAAGAAATTGAAAAAAAAAATGGTTTTACAAAATCCTATATTTAAAAATAACCCTTTTTGTCTTACAAGATTTAACTATCCTTAAATCCGTTACCATATAGCCCCTCAGTGTTTGAATCAAATCAAAATATACACATGAAAAGGTGTATTTTGCTTCAAATAAGTTAAGGTTTTTATTTTTTTATGTGATTTAGAAATTAAAATGTTACATAAATATTTAGTGTCTAAACAAGTTCCCAGACACTTCTGGGCAAGAGCTGTACACAACATTTTACCAAAAGCTAAACTCAAACTGCACAGGCTCCCAGAGGTTTAAGACTGATTAATCCTGCTAAAACCCAAGATTTCAAAACTAACATTACCACCATTGAAGCCTTATAAAGCAATGGAACATCTATTTTTTTCACAGGGTTTTAACCAAAAAAAAAAAAAAAATCAAAAGGTTTGTTATAGGATAAAAGAAACAGCAAAACAAAAGTTAATACGACCTCTTTATAGCTTTGCTCGGGCAAATTAGCTATTCGATCAGAGCGTCTGCGAATCACAAATTGCCCCGGAAGCGACTGGGCCTTTCTTTTTAATGGCTTCGCCTGTTTGAATCAAAATCAAGCAAACCAATAAGCCAGAAAGAACAAGCGAGCAAATAAGCAATCGTACTAGAAGCAACACAAAGTTGACAAGGAAGAGGGGAGACTAGATCGATACTGGAGAGGTCTTGGGTGAAACAGCTTCGCGCAGTGCAATGGTTAGGTGGCCGAGGTTAAGCTCCTCCAGCTTTTTCTTGTTCTCTTCCAGCTTCCTACGGCGGACCTCCTCATAAGTGACGCCCCCCCCGCCGCCGCCGCCGTCGCCATCTGCCGCTCACAGGGAACGGAGCAAAAGCAGAGCAGACAAAAATTGAAATGGAAGAGAAGACGAGGGGAGGCGGAGGATCAGCTGCTCCAGGGACCTTTCGACCACTGTACTTTATAGTAGGAAAAAAAAAATTACCTTTGATGATGCCGATGCACAATGGATCCTAGCCGTCGAATTCTTAACACCGTGGATGCAATTCAAATTTCAAATCGACTGAAGATGAAAGGCAGTATGGGCCCCACCGTTTCCCGTCTTTATTAGAAATGATAATGCAAGCTTATATTAATATAATGAATTTATGAAGTTCTTCTATTTCTTGGACCCATTTAATTGCCCTTAATCTAATTTTTGTAAATGGGTTTGATTGAGTGATTAATGAACCTAATTTTATGTAATCATTCAATACTGTGTCGATCAACATGTATTTATTCGTCAATTATCTAAGTTAACACCTTTTATTGGTTAATTAATTGTGCTTTAAGGCTTAATTAAGCCTATGATTATAATATATTGACTATCATTGTAATACATAACTAGTCACTTTAAGATGATAGTTAGCATGCCATTATAAATTCTCATATGATTGTTTCACAAGTCCAAATGATATAGAGTATACAACCTCAATATTTTCCTAAAATTTCAAATTATTTAGACCATATGGAGGATAAATTTTCAAAGAAAACAAAAAAAAGATATTACACTAATAGAGTTATTTTTTCAAAAAATTATATGTACTGATGTAATATTTTAAATTTTATTTTTTTAAAATTATAAGTAGTTTGGCTCTTTACTAGGATAATATATATATTTTTAACATGATTTCATATATATATATATATATATATGCAATTCAACAAGTTAAAGAAACATGGACTTAACTTAATTGGAGTCTCAAGTCGTGGTGCTCTTGTAGACATGCTTATCTCAAACATATGAACTATACAAATTATCATATAAACTAGGTTCTAGTTGTTATAATAAACATAAGTCGATTTAATAGTAGACATATTCTTTTGATGTGTTTGTACTGTTATGTTTGGTTATATGCTATGTTTTAGCAAAATAAGTGTTAAATTTACAGGAATTGTAAGTTGCTTAGCAAAAAAATTATATTAAACTAATAAATATTAAGAGAAAATTCATTTATGCTTATGATGCTCGCTCTAAACTTATATTTATATAATTTTTTTTAAGTAATAAGTTTAATAAATGAGTTATATGTACATATTTTATTATTGTACTCTTAAATGAGAGAACAAATAAGATAACAATCACGAAAAAAAGTTTATGGCTTGTAATTTAAATTTATATATGGTTTCTTAAATCATTTTATCTATATAAATATGAGATTAGGTTTAATACATAATAAAAAAATCACTTGATCAAGTATGAATTTTGATGTAGTTGAATTAAGACTTCCAAAATTAACTTAAAAATGTCCAAACTCCGATTTTAATAAAATTATTATAAAAAAAATATTTTAATGGTATAAACTTAATAGCACTAAAAGTGACTCAATTTAAATCCTGATCACCTTAAATCATGGCTTAAAATGTAATTTAAAAATATTTATATTATTCGAAAAATCTAATAATCATTTAGTTTTATGTTTTTAGAGTAAACATAAGAGTTTTGTTTAGAAAAATCTAATAAATCTAAAACTATATACTTTTAAGATTATTAAGATACTTAAACACTAAAAAATATTTATGATTGAAAGAATCAATGTGTTGAGAAAATTAGGGCGAAGAAAAATAGGAATCGACACAAATCCAGAAGAACACAGAGATTTAACGAGGTTCGGCAAAGATGCCTACGTCCTCGGGAGCAGAGCGGCGACCTCCTTTTCAATATTCAGAAAAGAATACATAATACAAAATTCAACCCTCTCAAAGACCTAGGATTACAAACAGGTCTATTTATAATCCTAGAGTAAGCCCTACAGTAATATGTAATTCCCAAATTACCCCTGTACCGTATAGCCCCAACCCATATAATGTAACTTCCCGATTTGGACAGATTCTTCCGCTCCACTCCGCTCCGCTTCGCTTCGATCCAACGTCTGTCCCAATATGGTATATGAGTCATACCATAACAAATCTCCACCTTGACGAATATTCAGCCCCTTAGGAGAAAAATACCTGTGAGTTACACCTGCACCACTGTGGGTTGGGCCACCATGCTTCTGCTGCGCCCACGCTGATGTCAGCCCACTAAATTCCAAGAGACACACCTCTTTAATTCCAAGAGACTTCTCTTCATTCCAAGAGACTCCAAATTCTGGTATTATGAGGCATACCTAACAATTCTCCACCTTGGCGAATATCCAGCCCTTTAGGAGAAAATCTCCACCTTGCGAATATTCAATCCCTTAGGAGAAAAATCTCGACCTTGCGAATATCTCGCCCTTTAGGAGAAAATCTTCACCTTGCGAATATCCAGCCCCTTAGGAGAAATATCTCCACCTTGCGAACATCCTGCCCCTTAGGAGAAAATCTCCACCTTGCGAATATCCAGCCCCTTAGGAGAAAAATATCATGGAGTTTCTTATGCACAAATGTGGGTTGAAGCACTTTTCTTGTTCGCGCCAACACCTCGGCTAAACTGTTGTCCCGTGAGCCAAACCCTTCGCGAAATACCTCAGCGAAACCACTGTTCGCGAATAATCGCGTCTACTCGCTCGCCAGCACCCTACCGAACTCCACCTGTCGCAAATTCCACCTGCGACGAATTTGCAAACTCCGCTGGTCGAACACCACCAAACTCCTCTGTTTGCAAACGCTCCTGTTCGCGGTAACTGCACACGAACTCCTGTTCGCGAACTCCAGAAGGTTCATGAATTGTTGCGCCTCAAAATCGCGACGCAGCCTCTACCGCGAACTCCCCGAAGCATAACTCGTCGAACTGCCATAGCCCTTTACCCGAACTGCTACGCACCTGTTCGTTCCCGCGAGCCCATCTGTCTTGCGAACAATTTTGATCCTGCAACAAAAACTTTTCTGCAAAAAATTCATCTGCAAAAATCCTTGCTTAGACCTTTTTTTTTTTAAGAGGAAAGAAGAAAAAAGAAATTATTTTTTTTTGAAAAAGAAAATATTTTCCCTTAATTAATTAAGAAATTTTATTTAATTAAATTTGTTTAATTAGGCTTCCCTTAATTAAATGCTTTTACTTCCCTTTCCAATGCAGCAGCCTTCAATTCCCTTTCCAATCAAGCAGGCAGAAGAAATTCCTTTGGAAGCAGCCTTCACCGGAGCCAAAGATGGAATATTCTTCCTTTCTGCGATCCTGTGGCCTCCTTCGGCGCGAAGCTTCCTTTCCAGGCAGCAGACCTTCTGCGCGATGCATCCTGCCCGCAAAGCCCGCCCGCTCCTTTCCTTTTCTGCCTTCTTCTCGTGCGAACCTTCCTTTCTAGCGCCAAATCGGAGCTTCCCTCTGCGCTGCCCTGCGATGCCTCCTGTGCAAAGCTTCCTTGTCGCGTGGATGAACCCCACGCAAACACTTCGCCGAAAACCCGCGCGTTCTTCCTAGTCCCGTCGTGAAGAGCACCTCGCGCAGATCTTGACCCGCAGAAATCTGCGTCCGCGAACTCCTACCTCCTTGATTCCGAACCGAAGCCAGGCAGATCCTTCTCCTTCCAAAATCCCTAAATCGTTTTCTTGCTTCCTGCGCCGCCGCAGTTTTCTTCCTTGCCCTCAAACCTTAGCTCTGATACCACTTGTTGAGAAAATTAGGGCGAAGAAAAATAGGAATCGACACAAATCCAGAAGAACACATAGATTTAACGAGGTTCGGCAAAGATGCCTACGTCATCGGGAGCAGAGTTGCGACCTCCTTTTCAATATTTCCTTTTCAATATAGAATACAAAATTCAACTCTCTGAAAGACCTAGGATTACAAACAGGTCTATTTATAATCCTAGAGTAAGCCCTACAGTAATATGTAATTTCCAAATTACCCCTGTACCGTATAGCCCCAACCCATATAACGTAACTTCCCGATTTGGACAGATTCTTCCGCTCCACTCCGCTCCGCTCCGCTCCGCTTCGATCCAGCGTCTGTCCCGATATGGTATATGAGCCATACCATAACACAATGTAGGCCTGATAATTAAATATTTAGAATTTGAATAAAATTAGTAACAAGTCACCTTAAAAAATTATAAATAAATCATCATTTTGCACATGGAAATGACATTGATGTGAATTTGAAGAGAACTTAGAGGTTTAAAAAATTATAAAACTCTATCAGATATTTGATACTAACAATCATCTCTAGTAATCATTATCATTTGATTATCATTTGCATGATTTTTTTTTCATTTGATTATCATCAACATCTAACTACTATCACTTAATCACTCAGCTTTCGTAAGTTGTTTATCATTATCTAGTCATTATTACCCGAACATCATAGCTAATTTGTTCATGTAATAAACCACCAAGTTTTTAATGTTTAGCATTTACCATCTAATAACTAAAATACATATCTATGAAGTTTGCCATGTTATTCTTTATTTCTCCTTAATAGTTATCAATTTATATAAGTATAAGCTTTCTTGCTCGAGATTTTAACTTTATTTGGGTGATAATAAATATCTAAATCATTATAAATTATCAACTTAAGCCATTACATGTGTCTCAAGTTCATCTCATTATATTTCGAACTCTTTTGATCAATGGAGGCCTCGCAATGAACAACATAAATATGACTTCATATCTTTTTTCAAAATATCTATAGTTAGCTTCAATACACGAGTAAGAAAAACTTTATCACACGCTTTAAGATATCTAAAGGAATAAGCTCTCACATTATAGTATTATAACCTAACCATTAATATAAAGCATCCTTATAATGTTCAAATCTTTTAGTGGTAAAAGGAAAGCATATGATAAGAGCTAACAATATATTTATTAAACTTTCAAAAACTCTGCTCACAGGAATCAAACCATTCAATTTAATATACTTCTTAGTCATTAAATGAAAACTTGCTTTATCGATTGAAATACCAGTTGATATTTTCAACGGATTTTTTCTTGGTTGATTTACTAGTTAAATTTCCAGCATTAAATTAACGGCTCAATGGCCGATTAAAGTTGTAGTCAGTTTAATGAATCAACTAAAAATGGCTGATATTTTTAGTCGATGAGTGAAATACTTAAAGTTGACTGGTTTACTGATTGAATTCAACCAATAAAAGTTTATAGTCAAATTTTCTGTCAATAATCCGACAAAACTCTTAATTTCTTTGAACCCAAAGGCCTAAAACCTCTCTTCTTCTCTTCCTCCCTCTCTGGTTCTCCCTCGAAGGGCAACAGTTTCACCCAAATTTCCTTCCATAATGGCAAGGATCTCAGTGGCAGTGGTGATTCGACCGGACTTAGCGGAGGCTCGGTGTCACTCTTAGCGATGACAGGTGAGGAATAAAACAACTCATTTTTTGTTTGGAATAATTTATATTAAACGCTTTAGATTTAGGTTAGGTTGAATTTACTTATAATCTTAACTAAACACTGATGTTCTGGTGAACAATTCATTAAAATTTCATGATTGTTTATGTCGTGGTTCAATTATTATGAAATTTTGAAGTTTGTGTTAGGTTAGGAGTTAAAATTATTTAAGATTTTATTTTTATTAACATATTTTTTTAAGTTAATTATTATTTTAATTAGGTATTCTCAAACCCTAATTACGTCGCTAATGTCCTAAGTGGATTATGCATAGGAAATACTCAAACTGATTTTGAAATTTAAGTTTATAATTATGAAGTAAAAGTTTGAGCATGAAATTATTGAATTTTTTAAATATGATAATTAAAAACGCTTTATATTTAAAAAAAAAAATTTGATATGATGTTTAATGTGATTTGATAAGAAAATTCCTTATAAAAAACCTCACATAATAATACAATGATTCTATTAGGTCATTAGCTAACTTTAGTTGAATAATTATTTTGTCTACACCTTTTTGGGATGTATAGTTGATAATTCTCATTTGTTATGGGTATATAGTATAAAAATATACAATAGATCTTGACTCTAATTAATATAATTTCTTCTCAATAGTCTATAATTAGGTTTCATCGATATGGATCAAACCCTCCTATACTTTTTCTTGTGAACTCACAAGTAGCCAATTATGATTGGTATGCTAGTAGTAAGAGGCTAAACATCTTAAGATAGTGTGCTTTAGCTTTTCATATGTCATACACACACATACATACACATCACTGTCAAATCACGAGCAAACGAGTCAAGCCGACTCTGGTTTGAGCTTAAATTGTTAACTCATGCATCATGATAACAACATTGTAATGATATTGATCCTATAAGACTAACTTTTCAATCATAGTTTTGTGTGAATGATTTGCTAGCTAAACAAAAGGGGCCTATGGAGAGATTTTCTTAAGCATTTTTTTATACCGTTGCACGATGGTATTGAGATAACACATGAATATCTATACCATCTTCTAAGTGTGGTAAATGGGTTTGATTGAGTGTTTAATGAATCTAAATTCATGCAATCATTCAAATTTTTTTTTGATCAACATGTTATATCATGAATTATTTGAGCTAACACTTTTATTTGTTAATAAATCAAGCATTAAGGTATAATCAGTCTTATGATTATATTTTGTTGACTATCATTGTCATCAATAACTACTCATTTTAAGATGACAATTAGCATGCCATAAAAAATTCTCATATTATTGTTGCACAATTCTAAGTAATATAGAGTATACAACCTTAACTGTTTATTAAAAAGTCAAATTATTTAGGCCATAATTGAGGATAGCTTTTGAAAAAAAAAAACACTTCAAAACTAAGACTTACTTTTTGAAAACTTATATGCACTTATGTATTATTTTAAATGTTGTCCTTTAGAATTATAAGTAAATTTTACTTTTAAAGATATTTTTTTTTACAAGTTGATAAGTTGAAGAATTATGAATTTAGTTTAATTAGGGTTTAAAGTTATGGTGTTCTTATAAACCGTCTTATCTCAAACATACGAGATACCCAAATTATCATATTAACCATGTTCTCGGTGGTATAATAAACAACACTTGATTTGATTTAGTATAAAGTATCACATAATTAGTTTTTGTTCTATTCTTGTGATGTTTTATACTATTATATTTGGTTATAAGCTATGTATTAGCTTATATTTACATGCACTAAGGTAGACATATAGTAAGTGCTACAATACTTTTAAAGGAATTGTAAGCTCATTAGCAAAAAAAACTATGTTAAACTAATAAACATTGAGATAATATCCTTTTTTGCTTATGTTGCTCACTTGCACTAATGTTTATATAATTATTTTAATTAACAGGGTTTAATAAATGAGGTACATGTATATATTCAATGTACTCTTAAATGAAAGAACAAATAAGATAACAATCAAATAAAAATTTTATGGCTAGTAATTGTCATGTGCTTACTATATATGTATATAATTGAGATAAAGATTAATACATAAGAAAAAAATCACTTGATCAAGTATGAATCTTAAGGTAGTTGAATTAAAACTTTCAAAACTAAATTAAAAATATCTAAACTCTTTTTTTAATAAAACAATTATAATAAATGATTTAATGATACAAACAATACAACACCAAAAGTGACTCAATTTGAATCCCAATGAGCCTAAATAATGGCTAAAAAGATAATTTAAAACTATTTATATTATTTGAAAAATCACAATCATTTATGTGCTTATAGTGAACATGAGCATCTTTCTTAGAAAAATCTAACAAATCTAAAATTATATAACTTTAATGTCATTAAGATATTTAATGCGAAAAAAAGAGCCATGATTAAGGGAATCAACTTGAACCATATATTAATATATTTAGAATTTGAATAAAATTAGTAACATATGACCCAAAAAAATATGAAAGTGACGTTGATCTGAATTCGGGTCAATTTTTGACGCCACTATTGAATATACAATAAATTTCTCACTTATCATTTTATTATGCCCCAAATTTGAAAGGTAGTATAACTTCATAAGGCACAATATGATTGAAAAAAAAAATTAATATTTGAGTCTTTATAAACTTTTTTATCGCATGAAGTATTGCTTGAATATATTTCGTTGGGATATGGGGTGATGCCAGTAAAAGAAAGTATTTTCGGTCGAGATGTGTGCCTTGCAACCGATAAGGCTATCAAAATGACCCATTGTTCGTGAACAACTCGTGTTCAATTCGTTCGTTAAGTTAACGAGCCGAACACAAACATTTTTTTTATTCTCGATATATAAATGAGCTGAACACGAACAACAATTTATTCGTTTGTGCTCGGTCGTTTTGACTCGAAATACTACTCATCAATTATATGTGTGTGTGTGTGTGTATAATTTAATTAACTACAAGGCTACAAAAATTTATAATCAATTAAAATTATTAATTAAAAAAATATAATAAAAATATATTAAATTATATTTAAATGATATCTTAATGTAAATAATAAGATTTAAATCTTGCTCCAACCCTTAATATCTTACGACAACATGATTAGAATTGTCGAAACGACTTTTTGTTTCTGAACTGCTCGTGTTCAGTAAATCAGCCAAATAGGAATACTTTTTGTGTCAATATAAACAAGTCAGAACACCAACATTAATTTTTTTAAAGAGTCAAATATAAGCTTGAGTCTGTAATTGCCGTGTTCGGACCGTTACACCCTGGCAACAGACATATAAACCCATACATTAGTCGCGCTCGTAATTCGTTCCGTTCCCGGTTACGCAACCCTGTCTAGAATCAGCTATCGTATTCCAGGAAAAATAAAAATAAAAAAAATACTTTCCCTGTCTTCTTCTTTCTAACCCTCTGGACCCTCTTCGTCATCCATTCGGGACCCCTGGAGCTTGAGGTATGGAATCAACGCCGGTGAATTGGGAGGCTTTGGATTCCCTTGTCACAAGTTTTGCCAAATCTGACCACCTCATCGAAGACTCCTCCGGACTGTCTTCCCCCTCCTCTCCTTCCTCTTCTTCCTCTTACCAGTATCGCCTTCTCATCCGTCAGATCCGCCGAAGCATCGAAGCAGGTGACGTCGATGGCGCTGTTTGTTTACTTCGGGAGCACGTGCCGGTGGTGCTAGAGGACCACCGGATACTCTTTCGGCTTCAGAAGCAAGTAAGCCCTTCTTCGCACGGTGATGATGCTTCGGCGGCAGAGGATTGACTTTTGTCTTGTTTGTGATTTGTGTTAGAAATTTATTGAGTTGTTGAGGAAGGGGACTGAGAAGGATCGGGATGCCGCCATTCAGTGCCTTCGTCTGGCTCTTGCTCCTTGCGCCCTCGATGCGTACCCGGTAATTTATGCCCTGCTTTGAGACTGATTTCTTTCTTTTGTTGTGTGTTTTGATATGTGATTTTTGTATGCTTGCGGCTTGATAATTCTCTTTTTTGGCTGGTCTGCTATCTCGAAGCTCGTAGTAAGTTTGATTGTGTTACCGTTTTTGGCGTTTTTCATGTTTTTTTGGCAAAATGTCAATGCTTGGCACGGGAAGCAGAGCAAAACAGTAAGAAAATTAAACAAACAATAACAATTCTAATTGGAGGAGAATCACCGTTCAGACGTTTATGGGCTTCTTGCAGCTGGTATTAAAAATCTTCGAGAGGCAATCTTCTATTCTATGCCTTTTTTGTTCATTATAATAATATAATTCTTAAAAGCATTAATCAGCAGCACTAGTATGAGTAGAGAGAAAAATAAAACACTGAAATGGTGAGTTTAAGCAGACAAATATAGCAGCTTAGAATAGCTTGGTTTTTGTTAACAGTTGTACAGTATAGGTATAAAACTGAAGTATTATAAACATAGAAATCTATTTAAAACAGTGCATATCATTCTCTATTTGACAACACCAATTATTACTATCAACTAAGTAGTAAATAATTGAAAAATAATCAAAGCAAATGGATAATTTTGAGTTGGGGCGAGCATTCGGTTGGTTTGGATGGTTGGTTTTCAAATTAGTTGATTGCAACATAAATTCAAAATCCAAAAAATCAAACCAATAAAAATTTTGATAAAATGAAATAGACCGAATCAAATTTTAGTTTGGTTTAAATGGTTTGGTAATGAAGAAACTGAAATTTAGTTGTTAGTTGGAGTTCAGTTATGAACAAACATCAAGAATTACATATCTTACACTATAATATCAATTTAATTTAATGAATCATCCATATAATTTCGAATTTTCGGTTTGTTCAGTTAAATGAAAATTAAAAGTGAATCAATAACCAAAAATTGAATATTGAGATTTTAAAAATAAAAAAGTGAAATACATTTTTGAAACCAAACCGAATCGACCAAACTTGTTTAGTTAGGTTTGTTTATTTATTTTAACCAAATAATGCGCACCCTAATTTTGAGAAGTATCATCATTCTTAATTCATAAATAAAATGAAGGGGAGTGAAGTTTTAAATGGAGGAATTTAACACCATAAGAAACTAATGCGATAGACTGTAGTATAAATTAAATTGAAATACATTTATATATCATGGTATTAAACCATGAGAAATTTGTAAATAAACCACAACAGGCATCTTCACATTAACCTTTTGTCGATCATGGAGGTTCAGGTCAAACACTCATTCATTTTCATAGATCATTTGGGGATGCATGTAATGTTTGCTTGTAGAAAAGTATATAAAAAAGTAAAAACTTCAAAAGGTATTCTTCAAGTACCTTTTCTACTATTTAGAAAGGAATATATGGGTAAACATGGCCGAAAAATTAGAGAACTCAGGCCAGTCTTATAGGGATAGATTGATAAATCAGAAGCATAAATCCTGATCTCATTTGTTTTTAAAATTATTGTTGGAGAATGAATGCTTTAGTGGAATGCAAAGAAGCAAAGGACAAGCCATCTACACCACTTCATCAAAAACAGAAATTAGTGGCAGTAAAAATTTTAATGTTTTCTTCAGTTCTCCTTATGAACATTTTAGAAGGGATTATTAGATAATAATAGTCATAAAATAAGAGAAGACAAATCGATAGATGGCTATAATAAATCCTTAACTTATTTATTATAAAAGTCATTGTTGGCTCATGAATGCAACATTTGGCTTTAGAGAAGCAAAAGGAGCAGCAGTCCAAGTGAATTTGTTACATTAGAAAGCAGAGTTAGTCAAAACTTTAAAAGATTTTCTTTAATTCCTTCTATGAACTTCTTGGAAGAGTTTAAATAGGTAATGGTTATTTTTAAAAAAGAGAAGTGTTCTTGGGCACCATTGTCATCATAGTCATCATTGTTCTGAAATCTAAGTTTATATAGATAGAGATGTATATGTTGGTATTTGAATCCTTAATTTTTAGGCCTTTTTGGCATAATGTTATAATTTGGGAATATATGTATTGGATGGTGTTGGGTTTTAGTGTCCTGATATCATATTTAGGCTTATATGTATTAGGTCCTTTCTTATGTCATATAACTCATGTAGGGATTTTATGTTATTATGATTGTTTGGTAGATATGATAATGCCCATAGATATAGTAATGATAATATGTGTGAGAATAGGTATGATAAATATGAAAGGCATGATGATGTGATATGATTGGCAGAAATGATAGGTGTGATAATAATTTTGGGTATAAAATTAGGCTTGGTAAAAATATAGTGGCAGAGTTGAATTTATAGACATGTTTACTAATTTTGTTCTTTCACTATGATAATTCCATAAATAATTGTAACTACTTAAGAATATAGAGAAGTTTTCTTGGACTTCCCCTGTTAGGTAGCCTATATTCCCTCTTCCTCTAATGTTACATTCTCATCGATTGTTGTACATCTTCACCGATTGTGTCCAGCGTAGAAAATTGTCACCTCTGAGCCGGATTGTGGTGATCTGGGCTGGATGATTTTCGGTGGTTCTAGAGGAGAGTGGTGCGGAAGCAGACGACAGGGTGGAGGGCTGAGCGGAGGTAGCAGAATCATTTGTATTTTCAGACATGATAGAAGAAAGGGAAGAAACGTTTTCTCACAGCTGAACAAAAAGAAGGCTAGGGTTTTTCAGGAATTTTATTCCTGCTCTGATACCATCAAAATATAAACAAAGAGAGGAAAATCTTTTCTTCATACTTTGATGCTTTAAAAGGTTCATCTACTTATAGGAATACCACCTCCTAAATAAAGAAATTACCTAATTGCTTATATCTTAAATAAGAAAATTACCTAATGGTTTACAACTATTTCCTATTATTACATAGGTAATTATGCAAGATTTATACAACTACACACTAAATTATAAAAAGAAAAAAAACATTAATGCTGTAAATCAAATTGAATTTTCAATTGTTTAATTGATAGAAGAAGATGAATTCTTAGCTTTCAAACTTGTTATATGTAATCTTTATCTATTGCATTAATTTGTAGCACTAGTAATCCAAGACTTGCATCATTTTGTCATGCCATCTATTTTAAATATGAAGTAGATCTTCACTAGCCATATCCGTCGGGCAGCCAAGCATCTTGCACGGGAAAAAGGAGGGTAATCAAGTTAAAATAAATTTGAAATCAGTAACTAAGATGTTTTTACTTTATTGATACAATATGTAAGCCTCATTGCGGATCGAGACAAGCCTGTAATCAGAATATAAAAAAATTCTTAAATTAAAAAATAGTTCTTAAATATATGTCTTAAATCATTGGTATTTATTACTTCGTTAATTATCATAAACTACAAAATAACATAATAAGATGATTATAAATATTAATATTAAATGTTAATCTAAAGTAAAAGTTTAAAATTTCTTAGAACAAAGAACACATGTTTGAATCATGTTCCAACCTAGCTCTATCCATGATCCAATGAGAATCAAACATAGTTCGAACATTTGAGAGCTCATGCTCTAACCTTGTACATGATTGAACATGGCTTGTTCGAACTATGTTTGAACCATGTTTGATCATGATTTAAACAATATTCAAATATGATTCAACACTTTTTCTAATAACGGTGAAGTTATATACTTTGATCACATCTTCTATAATATTGCTCAAGGCGCGCACACACTTTGAGACAAAGCCTCGAGGCACATTACATAGATAAAAAAAAGGTGTAGTTCTTCTTGGGACAATGAGGCACAAGCCTAGGCATTTTCGTATGCCTCATATTGAGGCATGCCTCGAGGCGTACACCTCTTAACATTTTTTAAAATCATGAATGTAATTAAGAAGGTTAGATGTGGCTGGTTGATGTGCTTGATATTTAAATTTATTTTCTCCATATTTATTTAAAGTCTGAAAATCTTTCTCTGACGTGGAGTTTATTTTTTTTATTTTTGTTCATTTAAAGTTGGTTACGTTTAGTTAATAATTCAACGTAGGCACCATGCTTCTAAGTCCAAATGTCAATAGTATTTACATGCAAAACTTGGTTTGGAGCTTGGAGATCAGGTTTATAGATTAATATTAGGAATGATATATCATACTGGAAACCCCTTATGTATCACAATTTCAAAATTTAATTGCCACATATTAATATTATTGAAGTTAAGTTGTTTGCCTAGAAATGTGTTCTAATGTTAAATTTCTTCCCCATAATAAGATAATTTGGAACCTGCTTTAGAAGTTACACTAATTTTTCTCGGTTTTAGGGAAGTGCTTATTATATCATTTCTCTGTTCTCGTGGTATAATTGATGCACAAATTATATTTTTATGAGATATTAATGTTAGCAGCAATGCATTGAATGAAACCCTGGTGGATACTTTGGATAATCATTTTTCATGTTCGTTTGATGTAGCTTGTACATTTAGAAAGGTTGTTTTGTATTTCTAAACTTTTCTGTATGAACGTTTTTATAGTTTGTTCAGACATCTTTTCTATGTTTTGAAGGAAGCATATGAAGAGTTCAAGCATGTTCTTTTGGCATTGATCTTTGACAAAGAAGACCAGTCTTCTCCTGTTGCAAACGAGGTAAGGAGGTTTTGCCAGCTTTAATTGAGCAGAATTGTAGTGGCAGTAATTTGGCAGAGCTGCTACAACATGATCCAGCCCATTTATTACTTTAAATTTTAAGATTTTTTAAGGAGCTAATTGCCAAAATAGTACCCTGACTATTTATAATATGGGGTCATTTTTTGCCGCAGAGTCTATAAAAGTGTCAAATTAGTCCTCAAATTCTTTGAACATGAGCAAAAATAGTCCACAGGGAGGACAATTTTTACCCACATTAAAAGAGTCTAAGGACTAAAATGGTATTTTTATCGACTCTGTGACTAAAATGGCCCCTAGAAAGAGTCAGTCGGCCATTTTGACACTTTTCTCTTCAAATAAATATTTTTATTTCTTTATTTTTTTTTAATTTGTTTTCTATCTAGTAGATGTAACATACTCATAAACATGTACATCAAATTGACTGTATTTTGACAATTTGATATGGAGTAATAATGCAAGTTATCTTGTTTTAGGCCGTAACAATAAAAAAAGTCTAACATGATATAAAAATACAAAGTGGAATCTCCAACCACACACTCACATGATATGATCCGACTTAGAAATCGGTATGAATTTTCACAGAAATTAGGGCAAAGCAAATATTTTTGTTTAATAATCCAAACAAGTCAATTCGAATACAAAGATAAACACCTACAATTTGAGAAGTAGATTTTTACAATTCAAGTGGTAGGAAATATCTCCCAAATTCCAAACCTAAGACTCGCGACAACAATCTCAAACATAAACCTAACACTAAACATAATAAGCTTATTTATACCCAACAACTATAATAATAAAAGATTAACTTGCCCACAGTCGTACAAAAAACCAAATTGTTCTTAAGCTAGACACCGACGTAACAATACTCTCCACAAAAGATATCTTGTTATCAGGTGGAAAAAAGTGGGAGCGTTCCTTCTTTATCACAGCTGTCTCTTTTTCTTCATCCTTACCTCTTCATCATGCACTATGAGAACTTGTATTTTTTGGTCCTTGCAACGATATCTTTGAGTAAACTTCTCATGGCACACTTTTCTTGAATCTCTGTCTTTGTAAGACTATTGATTGTCGCTATCGGTCGTGGCCATCATTCCAGTTACGTACAACCTCTCTCTGGATTTTCACTGTCTGAGCTTTTAGTATCGTCGTGGTTGTAGCAGTGTGGTACGACACTCCATTTATGTTGCTCCTGGTGGCCTCCTCCATCTGGTTTTTGTCCTCTACCATCTGAGCTAGCTCAATCATTTCCCCCAATCACCACAGTCTCAATTGTCAAAGTGCTCCTCTTATGTCAAGCTTTAGGCTTTTCATGAAATTCGTCTCCAATCCTTCTTCAAAAATCTCTCTCAACCGTCCCAAATAGCTCGAATCTCTTCTTATATTTCGTGACAGTCCCTTCCTGATCTAAGACAAAATTGCACGTGTAGGTCTCATTCCTGAATGACTCAGAAACGTTTGAAGTTCCAACTAACAATTCTTAAATTCCTCTCACAAACTGACCGGATATTTAGCCTCCTTCCACCTAAAGTAGGATAGGTCTTTTCCCTCCAAATATAACCCTGTAGTCATGTGTTTCTCCTCTCCATCGAGCACATTAACTATGAAGTATCGCTCCACTCGATACACCCAGCCATTTGCGTCTTCCTTCTCGATGATCGAGATTTTTAACTTTTTAACCCCAACATCAGTACCCTAAATTCTTCTCCCTTCGCTGTTTCCCCCCTTGTATCGAGAGTAAAACTGCCTTCGATCATAGCTATATCCCCTCCATACTTCTCTTCATTCTTCTTCATGCTCCTATATACCTCTTACGTAATCTCTTCTCCATGTTTCAACCCAATTGATTTCATAAAAAATCTCTAATCCACCCTCAATCAAAGCCCTAGTAGGGGTTTCTTGATGTAGGATGCTTTCCTGTTCATAATTCTCTCGTTCGATCTCCCTTCTTTTTGGTCTGGCCATGGAATCTTTGATTAATCCTTGGTTGGGATTTGCAAATTGAGCCACCAGTGGGATGTTGGATTGCATCTTGATAAACCTCTTGAGTACCTTCTCCAAGCTCTCGGATCAGCTCTCAAATCGATTTTCCATGGAGGAAAATTTTCCTTCTATAGTGGAGAACTTTTCCTCAATCCTCGATTTGATTTGACTCATCTCTTCCTCGAACTATTTAACTAAATCGTCTACTTTTTTTGGCTGTCATTCTTTCCTATCGTTTTCAAAACATATATGCCACAATCACATATCTGAAAATCGATTTGAATCTTGAGGCTTTCTAACAAGCTTAACTCATCATTTTTCACGAGAAATGAGATATCTTGCCCTCCCAACAAGCTCTTATTGTGACTATATTGCTCCCAGCCAGCTTTATCGCGTTTTATTGTAGTTATCACCCTCATGTACGCCCATCAGAATAGGTCATGAAGGTGTTTCATGTGCCTCACAATCTCGTTGGCCTTCCCTATACCCCACGATCTCATCGACCTTCCCCACAAGCATCAATTACGACTGCCTTCTCTGTGCCCCATGATCTCGTTGGTCTTCCTCGCAAGCACCAATTGCGATTGCTTCGCGCGGATGGAGTGGGAGGGTCTTTTTAATCCGTGATTCCGTTGTTTGCCTACTCCACTGAATCAAAGTTTCTTTGGAAGTCGCAAGACCATTGTTGCCTTCTTTGTATTCCCGAAGTCGCTTCCCTGCTAGCCCGATCGCACTCATATCCAAAGTTCTGCGTGATCCTTTTCCTTCCTCCAAGAGTTGCGATCCTTTTTTGTGAGCAGATAATCTACTTTTATTTCTAGATTCCTAGTTTGACACTCTGATACCAATTTGATATGATCCGATGTAGAAATCAGCATAGATTTCCACATAAATTAGGGTAAAGCAGATATTTTTCTTTAAAAATCCAAACAACTTAATACAAATACAAAAACAAACTTTACACTTCGAGAAGTATGCGATCTCTCCCAATTCCTACAATTTGAGAGGTATAAAATCTCTCACAAATTCTAAACCTAAGATTCACTACAACAATCTCATGCGTAAACCTAACCCTAAACACAATAAGCCTATTTATACCCAACAACAATAATAATAAAAGACTAACGTGCACACAAATGACCAAATTGCCCTGAGGCGAGACAACGACGTAGCATCACACTCATGCGCACACAAGCAAGTGAGCCTACCTTTTATTGAATTTTCGTTGCATCAATAAAGTGGAATGCTTATTTATGTTGCTTTATATGCTGAACGTATGATTTTGATAGATAGTTTATTTTTCACACACAAACAATAATAATTTTTAGATGACGATTGTTGCGTGTTACTTATTTGAGTTTAGTTAGTTTTCTATGGATTGACTTGCTTTTATAGAAAATAGTTTACTCTGTTCACTTGGCTTACAACTTAACCGAGTGAAGTGTTAAAATAGTCCCCTACTATTTAGATGGCGCCATTTTAGTTCTAGCTTTTATAAAAGTGCTAAATTAGTCCCCAAACTGTTATAATGAGAGCTAAAATAGTGCTCATTGTGGACTATTTTCCCATATTAAAAGAGTCAGGTGATTAAATTGGCACTTTTATAAATTTTGGGATTAGCACTTCTCTCTAACTTAACCATTGGATTAAGACTTTCATGAATAAAATTTACTAGGTAGTGTTGAAAATTATTTCCTATGAATGCTATATGGAAGGTTGTTGGTTGCTTATGTGGTAGTTAAATATTGATTTATTGTTTTTTGAATTTCATGTGTTCATGGTGGAGTGTTTGGTTATTTTGAAAGAAGCTTATTTTAATTTACTAAAGGACAATCACTTTATAAACATTGCCAACAGAAAATTGTGATTGATATTTGAACTTTATCTTATGTGTAAATTTTAGGCTGCAAACAAACCAAGTTGAGCTAATTAAGAATATTATTTTCTTGTTAAGTCGTTGTTTGACTAGACTTGATCATGAAACATCATCATTTTATGGTGGAATTGACCGTAAATTTGGGTAATGATGTGGATAAAATTTTTTAGAGTAAAAGCCCAAGATAGTCCCCCGACTATTAAGAAGTGTCTAATTTAGTTATAGAGTTTTATAATGCTCCAATTTTGTCCTAAACTATTAACAATTGCTTCAAATCGATCCTAAGTCATATTTTTCATTAAATTTAACAATGGTCAACATGAATTGAAAGGTATTTTCAATTTTTATGTAATTATTCAAAATTTAAATGGTTTCTATATAAAATTCTTTTGAAAAATTATAAGTTTTAGTTTGTATTGATAAATCTCTTCACAAGAGTCATCACTATTTTTCACATGATTTTTTTTTGTTGGATCATCGTTTGAACTAAGATATAGCTTGACATTTTAAATCAAATAAAATAACTTTTTTTTTCTCACTCAATCCCTTCCCAACAAATTAGCAGGGAAGAATTTTTTTTATTTTAATATTAGACAGTATATATATATATTGTAAAATATTTGTGCAAGAACATAAGTGGTTTCCCATCGATCACATAATTTTATCATTCACATGCATAATATTCTGAACGTAAAATAAATGCATTCATTAGTTTTTCAAGTTAACTTTAACTATTTAAAACACATTCTCTAATAAATAATATTAAAATTAAAAATTCAATTGAAATCGAGTAATTCATATAATTTCAGACTGAGTGTGCTCTTATTTCTTAATTCTTAATTATTTAAAATTTTTTATATGACAAAAACTGTTAATTGTTGTAAAGAGATTTATTAATGCAAATAAAAAAAAATTATAAATTTTCAACAACAAATAAAAAAGAGATTTAAATACAAATCCCATAAATTTTGAATATTTATATAAAAAAATAAAAATATCCTTCAATTCATGTAGGCCACCGTTAAATTTAACAGATTATGACCAATTTGGAAAAGTTTTATTAGTCAGGGATTAAATTGGAGCATTATAGAACTCTTGGACTAAATTGAACACTTATTACTATTTTGGGCTTTTACTCAAATTTTTTCTTTTCAAGCTATGGCATGTTTGCTTTACAGAAATTATTTGGGCAGCTAATGTGCATTGGATAAACTTCGAGTGACAGAGAAAGATTTGCAGGGAACCCACCTCTAATTGAGCAGATATGAAAAAGCTTCATGTGAAAAAAATATCTTCCACCACATAAAATTCTCAATTAGATGAATTAATTTATTTAAATAATTTACAAGCTCTGTAGCTGAATACATGAATAAATTTGAAGAGTTATCCATTCATTTTAAAATGATGGAAGATGTAAAAATAAAATTTAATGATTTTGGTAGCTTTAGGAGTTGATATCCAGATTATAATTGTTCTCAAATTACCCAAGAATTTTACAGTGGAATGGGTTTTTACAAGCTGGAAAAATCCGGTAAAATTGCTTTTGATGGGGTAATACTACTGGGGAGAGGGAATAGAAAAGAGAAATCTATTCTATGGAAAGCACTTCTGGTTCTATATTAACATGATGAAGTTGTTTAGAATACTTGAAGAAATCACGCACATGAATGGCTAAACAATAATAATGGCAATTTTTAAGATGAGAAAGATTTCAAGTAAGCTTGTGAGCATTATGACATGCATTAGCTGGATGAGGATATTAGTAATGCTGAGTAAACTTCGGGTGGTTATCTTTTAAACTTCATGCAATGTGCATAGCTACACCTAAAATTTAGAGGGTCTGGAGAATAAATTTAAAAATTCAAACCTATTATAGGAGTGGAAGGAAAACCCACGAACTTATTATTACTAGTGGGCTGGCACGAATGATAATTGCTGAGTCAGCTTTAGGATGCAGAAAACTTAAATCGGAATATCCTCTTTTGCCTTGCAAAGTTATCTAGATAGAGAAATCTTTTTCCTCTATTGATAATGATGTCTCATGCCTGTGCAACTAAGTAGACTTATGACATTTTTCAAGTTGTTTTTCATACAGATGTTGCAAATTTTATTGGGTCATTCATTTTTTTTTTCATATTTATAGCTAAAAAGTTTAGCAAGTCTAGTGCTTATATTCTCAAACATAATGTGTAAGTTATCATCTTAAAACTTGTCAAACTTAAGGGCTCTTCAATACACTATACTTAGGATTTTAGGAGTCGTAAAGAAGAACGAAACCTTTTTATTTAAATTGGTATGCATGGGAAAGAGAGGCGGAAAGAGAGGTAGCCTGGCTTCAGTGGCCTTGGAAATCAAGTAGGGTGGTGTTAATTCTATGGGTTTCTGATGCAAAGCAATAAGTGGCGGCATAAATCTAATTTGGACTGGTGGAAGTTTCTAGCAGTTGCGGGTTCACGGAAATGATAAAGGCATCTGGCTTACTTGCTAGTTTTTTTTATTTGTTCAATTTAGTCTCTTTTTGTTGTGTGGTGGAGGTGCGCATGTGCGTGTATTCCTTGCTGATGATTTTGTCTTGCGGTTGTTTAGCTGTGGTCGTGAATGTTTGAATTTGGTCAGACCCTTTAATATGGCGTCTGACAAATTGCATCTGTTTGTCATCATAAAATACAAGTTTAGGCATGTGCTTGATATTCTTAGAGTATGAATAACACTTCTATATCCATATTTTCTGATTAATCGACTATTTTATTGAAGTTGGTGGCTTTGAGAGTTTAAAATATATTGTATTAAATGTTCCAGTGGTCCGAAAGGAGAAGATATGATCTTGCTGGATTGTTGTCATCTATACTAAGGTTTCAATTACATGCTTATGATCCAATTTTTTTGTTAACATTGAGGTATCTTATAAGGTAATTATTTTCTCATACTATTTGAATTTGATATACAATTATTTTTAATTTTGAATAATTTCAAGTACTAATTACCTGTGCTCAATAAAATGCAGCATCCATAAAGTATTTTGTCGTGACCGAGGCATTTCATCTCCTATCACAGATCTTACTGAGAGGCTGCTCTTTGAGGAGCGTGATCCTCCTGCCGTTCCACAGGAGAGTTTGTTTGAAGCACCACCATTTGATGAGGTAGAAGTTCTACTTATTTTTTACAATTTCAGGATTGCTTCTTGCTGTTTAGGTCTTTGATTGGTGTAAATTCAGGTTGATATTCAAGCCCTAGTACATGCTGTGGAATTAACAAGACAGGGTGCCGTTGATAGCCTGAGATTTGCCAAGGGGGATCTCATTCAAGCATTTCAGGTCGTTATTATGTTCATGTGCTTGTGAGAGCCTTAATATATGATTCTTTTCAGCATTATTTATAGAGATGCAAACATCACATTTATTGCAGCATGTAACACTGCAGGACCACTTGGATGATTCTCTGTTGTTTTCTGGTCTCTCCACTTCCCCTCTTTACCTCTACACTATTTCAAAAGGAATGGCCGTAGGCTATTATACGAGCCCATACCATCCCTCATGCGCCTAAGAACTCAAGTATCACACCCTACATTTAGGGGGAATCGAACCCCAGACCAGAGGGGACTTACAACCGGCAAGCAGATGTCCGACCAACTGATCTGAGTACGCGGCGCTTGAATGCAGCTGTATATATATATATATATA